CGGGATGAAATTCGTATAGAAAAATATTTATTTATGATACGTTTCAAGTAACAGCTATTATGGAATTCCGAAGACGATCCACGGGGGGCGCGCATCCAACACGAGTTCTAGGAAAACACAGCTGAACGACAGGCGACAGCGGGCTTTATTATATTCATTTAAAAATTATATATAAATGAATGGAAATGGCTGGGAAAAATTGAAATAGGACTAATAAAAATAAGCTTGTTTTTGAAATACCGAGATCAAGATACGCCTGAACAAAATTCAAATATCTACATATATACCATTGATTTGATGATAATCGTAGCTTATTTTTTTAAAGTTTTCCTTTAATTCGAAATTATTTTAAAATATTTCTTTTCTTTCCCAAGCGATTCTTAGGACACGAATAAAACCAATAGCTATCTTGCCTATTAAAAGGATTCAAAACAAGTGATAGTTTTTGTGTCACAACTTACAATTCCATGTCATTAATTAGATAAACACGCACAAGGATTAATTGTCACTTGAATACAATTCTCTTTTTGCTAGTCTTCTTAAAGCGAACCTACTGTACTCGTAAGTCCAACAAATTTCTACTTTTTAAAAGCATCTAACCTTTTATAAGACGACTGTTTGATACTTCAGTACCTACTTTCGTGACTTTTATGATATTTTCAAAACTTTTACACATTATTATTTGATTAGTAAATCTTTAGGCGAAGTTGGGTGATGCAACTAGTATTTCACATTTAATACGAGCCAAACAAACATTTGAATTTATCCGTCAATTATTTCACTGTTGATTCTTAGAGACACTTTTTGTTTAACACTTAACAATATAAAAGAAGGGGGCGAAAGGTTTCTTTGTAAGTGTGTTATTTTTAGTTGGAAATGTACGAAATATATTTGTTTTTTAGGGACTGTAAGTAATTATAAAAAGTTCTAAGAAATAAAAATAGTGTTGTAAACTTTTTAGTAGAATTATTACATGCATTATACATAGCTACTGTTTTCCTTAATAAAGTTTCCTTTAAGTTTCGTACCATTCAGTAGGTAGGTACTTTGATTGAGTCATGAAAACGTTGTTTTCGTATTTTTTTTAAGAGTTAAGTTATAACAATTGAAAAGTTCGTATGGTCATACATAATTCATATTTCAATATTTCTTTATATTTCACGTTCATGAGTCGCCACAGCTTTCGGTCCGTTATTGTTCTAGTATCTAAAAATAATCTACAACAGAGAATGACACAGCGTGGCGCGGATCATCCTTCGTACTGAGATGGATTGCAATTAATAAATGTATGGAAAGATGGAGTATGCGTAATATCATTAACATAGGTATGGGAATGTAGGTTTGAACACAACCATATATAGAGCGATGGAAATTTTGGTGCGGGTGTAATTTTTCTTAATATCCGAGCTCGACGCCGTGCCAATATTAAACGTTTGTTAGTACATTCTGGCTGCACCCACGCCGCTACAGACGACGCGACATTTCCTCAAGGTTGCTCTACAATGATGTGGCTGGTCGGTGGATTTTTCAGTGAAATAGTTTCATTACAGCGTAGTCGGTGACGAAAACGTCTGCGCGGTTGGAGGTCGACGACCCCGCCCGCCACGCGATTTGGCTCCCGATCTACTATTCAACATCACTCCTCGCCAATACTACTAACACCACTGAAGACATATCCTACAGAATCTTTAATAATCACGATTCATAAATAGTTTATATTTATAATAATAATTAATATTATTTAAATAAATTTCAATCCACGTGAATGTCTTTCGCTGTCATTCATTATTGACAAACTTATCCCCTTCAACAATTTCTTAAAATAGCAAAATAAGTAGCCATAAGGAAATGTTAAGTACGTACAACAATATACTATTTGGAATAAATTACATTAATGGAGTAAGAATTCATTTAGTTCATTTTATAACGCTTTTCAATCGATTTAATATAGGTAATAATTATAAGTCCTTTGAAACAATAATTGTTATATATCAAATGTATAGTTTTGGTACATTTAATATATTTTATGATCGTCTATTGACGTAAAAACACCAAAGGACATTCAGCGTTGAGTGGGCGTGATAGTGATGATGTGAAAAACTGTTTGAAATCCACAGTTTTCTTCACTTTGACACGATTTTTTATATAAATTTATTATTTTTTATAGTTCGCCAAACGACCACCAGGAATGCCAGTTATGAACTACATCTACATTATAAAAGACGTGCTTTTTTTTAACTAGCGCTAGGGAATTGGACCACGTTATTTCTGATTATTTTATAAAAAAATAACAGATTTTATTAATTAACGATGTATCTAAATATGACTATCGGATAGTAAAAAATTAGAAGAGAATAACGAATAAAAGCGAAGCAAATCTAAGAAGTATACTCAAAGACAAAAGAAGAATTTTATTGCATATACTAAATATAATATATTACCTATATATATGTGTGTATAACTTCAAACGTATTATTATTATATATATAATTGTAAGTGGTGAGCTAATCAGTTATTGTCGGATCCATAGTGGAGCTAGTTTCATCCCACTTACGGCAACTTATCAATGAAATTCTTGCAACGGCGCCCTCCGCTGTCTCGGCGTCTGACGTAACAAAATGGCGACCACACTTCGAATCGCGCGCAATAGATTTTACCGTATTTGGTTATATTTCAATACCTTCTCATTTATAATCTATGGTGGGTTTTAAATAAATTATCGCGTATTTAACACGTCTATACATTTTAGTTTAATTATTACTTACATAAATAAAAAAAATTAAAGAAAAAATTGTCAACGTCATGAAATTGTATATAATTGTTTATGGAAAAGATTTTCATGTTTCTATAAAACCTATTATCATTTTAAAGTATGTATAATAAATACTTGATAATATTCAAATGTATTGAATAAATTTATCACACGAAGCATAAAAGACCTATAGCGCCATCTATATCATCAAAATGCAATCAGCATTATTTCTTCACCTGACCTATCGTACAACTACAGTTCCTCGGTAAAGAGTACCACGTACTGCCGCTAGATGGCGTTGTACGACCATTAATAATTTACGTAAAATACTGTGTAAGCCCAATAAACGCCGCTAGAACACTGCATATTTTTTAAATTCACGTTTACAAATACATAAACTTAACGTTAAAGTAATCATAGGAATTAAAATGTTTAAAAAATGTCGCAATTAATATTAAGATTGCGATTGGACAGAAATGTCACAATTAACTTAAAACATATAAAAGACACTGAATAAACTAAATTATTCATTGTTCTCTAATACTTGCTTTTGCTGAACCAGTGATAACATTTGCACGTGTATTGTAAAGCGGATATAATTTAAGTCATTGATTTAAATTCAGTCCTTTTTAATTTCAATAAAGTCATTGTTCTATTGTAATAACGATATCTATTTATTTCTTTATTGCATGCTTTATTTGATACACATTTCTGTTGGTTTAAAATGACAATTAGAAAAATATAATATTCGAGATATAGTAATAATTTTTGTTTCGTGAATCAATATTGAATATATATTGGTAGCGACATCTAGTGAAAAAATACAAATCAGTTTACAAGGTTACTTAGCCCGATCATATCGACAGTCCGGTCAAATCAGCCTTAAAATTGTAGTCAAATAATAAAAATTCTCGGAAAGCCAAATATTAGCTGAGAGCTAGGGTTTACCATAACAAATGAAGTTTTGAAAGTTTCTATCCAATCTACGTGTGCATCAAAAGTTATGGGGTCCTAGGTAAAAATTTGAGGATTTTTTGATTTTTGCGAGGACGGTAGGTTTTATATAAAAAAACCACAAACCAAAGTTGTAGATCTTAGAACTCTCTATAAAATTAATTCTTCTATTATTCTCTGACACTTTTCTCCACACATTTAAACGCCATCTGTGAGATAGTGTACGCAACGCTTTTTTACCCTGTTTTTCCCTGTAAGCCTACTGTATTTACTGTCATGATAAATTTAATTAAATTTAAGGGAACAGTACCCGTCAATTTCTAGTTATTACTTTTTAATATTGATTATTGAGTTAACCTTAATTTTCTTTTTTCTTTAGACATTTGAATCAGATTCATACTCTTGAAAATCACCGTAAATTAAGTAAGATTAAATGTCTGTATTGAGCGGACTATTATGTATTTAATTGCTTTTTATACATCAATTACTTGTCACAAAACAATTTTTTTAACAAAACTATGAATAAATAAATTGATATTTAGTTATTCCGGTATGTACTTCTATATCATTTCTTAATGACATAAAACAAAATCAATAAATTGTTATACATGTATATTATTTAAATTTGAAACTTATAAAACATTTGTCATCAGAAATATTTATATCGATACAAATAAATTTAATAACAGAAATACTATTATATATGTTACGAAGAATAAAATTCTTAATGCCACAATGTAACTAATAAATAATTATTTTAAACTAGCCACTACTCCAACTTCGTCCGCGGTATTTGGTGTTTTAATAATTATATATCGTATATGTTAAAAAAAATATCAAGAGCGATTCCTAACTAAGGTTCATATTATAACCAGTCCATGACAGTAATGGTGTATGAGACTATAAGATTACTGACATTTAATACCAAAAAAAGTAAATTTTCATGCAATCTAAAGAGATAGGTATAGTCAATTTATTTGTCTGATAGGAAACATTCGGTTTGTGGATAAAACTACATCAATTTCTCATTTTCAAAACACGTAAACATAATATGTAAACATGTTATGTCAGAAAAAAACATATACCACAATTTAAACCTATTGATAGTAAGGGACTCTAGTTTTAAATCGATCGAGTAAAACCTGTAATTTTTATAGGTTTGAAATCCACTTGCAACTGAGTCAGATTGGTCTACTATACTACAATACTAACTTCAATATAAACCAATCTTTTTAACTTCAGATCAAACTCACACCGTTACGTTACGTTACGTTACGTCAGAGGTCTCACTAACCTGGCGCTATGAAAGCTGGCTGTAGCTGATGAAGCGGCCGCTCCGAAGCCGACCCCCACAGCCAGACCCTCGGGTATATTATGTACAGTAATAGCTACAACCAGTAGCATTATCCTCTTCCACTGCGACTGACGGGCTTCTAAAGCCCGAGCCACACTGTCCCGCCTATCACCATCTCCGTTGTCGGATTTCTAGAAGTAGCGGGAAGAAAATATTATTAACTATACATGTAATAGAGAAAGTATGAGAGAGCGAGAGGGAAAGAGATAGACAGAGACAGAGAATATTAAAAGTATACAAGTCTTTGAAATAAATTTTATCTTAAAGTTTGTTTGATAAACCAATTCCGATATTCTAAAATTATTTGTTTAGCAATATCATCCGATCATTCTTTTAGGTGTAAAACTATTTAAAAGGTATTTGTAATGCAAGGCTCGATGTGATTATTCATCGGAGATCATATTTCATTACATACATCAACGTTAGGTTTAAATTATAATTTTAACAGGCAATTTTTTTAGTAAATCAATTTTTTTTTTTCGTTGAATACCTACTAGTATCCATAATACACTTCAAATTACAAGTGACACCTTAAAATTAAAATATTTTGGGTTCCAGATACTTAAATGAAATATTCGAATAGTGAAAAACATATTCAAATAAATACAGATTTATTGAATACAGATAATTTAACGAGCAGAAAAGCGGTCCACGTGAAACCATTGCTACAGTTGTTATTGACAACATCCGCGTATCAATGGATGGCATCTTAATCAATAAAATATGAAATGCTTCATGAAGTCGGATTTAAAATACAAGGGAAAACGTGATGAGTTGTTCTAGTAGTACTATAGTAGTTATAGAAACTTGTTAAATATTGATAGTGGCTATATTATGTATTCTTGGTTTAATTCTTGTTTAGATGTTACCGATTTTTATCTGATTATTTGATATGATAGTCGTTAATAAATATCATTGTTTGATATTATGATACTTCGAGGAATTCTTCACTTTTGAAAGAGTCGGTGTCTGTTTATGTTAATAAATTAAATATACTTATAATAGATTATAATTAATCTACCACGACGAGTCTGCAACAATTCTTGCGATGATTAAGAATAATAAATTTCATATACCAAAAAAGAAATATGTATTTTAATACATTCCCCTTTGATATAAACTTAGATTTTTTTAATTCACATTTTTCTGTTCGAGTCATATAAAAAAAAATTGTGACTTCACATGATTATATGTATGTACACATTTAATTCTGACTTTTCTATTTTGAAACTACATGTACTGTTTCCTTGTAACTAAAATCGATTACAACAAAATATATTTAAAAAAAAACTCATTTCAAATTCTATGTACATCTTTCGTATTTACCGATAAAATTAATAAACTATTTCAAAGCCCTAATACGACTATTGTTAGTAATTTGGAAAAATACCGACACAATACATATATATTAACTTGTCTGAAATATCAGATACTATTTAAATAAAATGTAATTTTTAACAGTATTCCACGGTTATTTGTTTTTTTTTGTCGTCAATTATAAAGTATAGACTACCTATTACTAAGTTAGGATATTTCACTACGAATTCATTTTCATCAGTCAGTAAAAAATCTAATCTTATCGAGTTAGATAAAGTAATATTTTTGTATTACTACGACTTTTCTTATTATTTCAAACTACATGCTCCCGACGTTACGTTTACTTTGCAGCAACCATGATCATAGACAGACGAGATGAGATTTTTCATCATCAAAACGCGAAGTACATTCGAAAATATTAGTTTCATTTAAATGAATACCATTCATAATCAAGATCGAGTAAAATTTACAATCGATTACCATTTACGGGTAGGGTTGACTTTCGCGAGTATTCATTTAAATGAGACTAATATTTTTCGGATTATACTTCGCGTATTTTATTACACATTTTAAAAAACTACATACTCCCGACGCACACTCACAGTGGTTCGAATTTTGAATATGGTGGAATTATAATCAGTCAGTATTTGAAGCTAAAGTTTCCTTATTTCGTAAACTTTTCAGTAACCGTGATCACGAACAGACGAGATGTAGGGTTGACTTACTGACCCAAATCGCCCCCAATATGGGCAGGAAGGGAAGCCGGGGAGTTTTGGATTTCTCCAGGAAAAAAAAAGGGTTGACGTACTATTGAATGCTGTGAGTTATGATGGCCCCGTCTCCTCTGTGCCGTGTGCTGATTACTGATGCAGTCAGCGAACTCCGCCGGCTGGTTCTCCATCGTCACCACCGTGGGATTAGAGTTCCGCCTCGCCAGAGCCGTCATCATCTCCAAATCTTCAACCTTCTCTTTAGAATCCTTGCTCTTCGTTATAGCTGGAAAATCACATCGCTTAATAGACTCAAAAAATAAATATAATATCCCTTCTAATATTATAAATGCGAAAGTAACTCTTTCTGTCTGTCTGTTACGCTTTCATGCCTAAACCACAGAACTGATTTTAATGAAATTTGGTACAGAGATAGAGTTGACCTTGAGAAAGAACATAGGATGGTTATTATCCCAGAATTTTGAAAGGTTCTCTTGGAAACACGATATAACCGAACTCCACGCGGGCGAAGCTGCGGGCGGGAAGCTAGTATATTATAAATGAATATGTAGGATCAATTCACGTGTATGTGACTGCTACGTTAGTTTTAATCACTATACAATGTTGTATTTTCTGTAATATGTATTTCAGGTCATAATAAAATATAAGCCAGCCATGTTTATTACCTCGCCGTTAAAAATGTAAGTAAAAATTATTAATATCGTGTTATTTCAATGAAAAAGAAGACAAACTTCTGATAGCTAGATGAATAGTTTCATTATATTGTTATCAATAGAAGTATAATTATTAATGACAGTATACAACTAGAATGTACAGATTGTGATCTTAAATGACGTCATGAAAATATAAATATATAATTTTATAAAATTAGTTCCCTTTCCATTGATTACATTTAAATTGTTAATACAGTTCGATCTAAATTGAACGATATGTTAAGAACTGAATCGTGAGAATTACAGTAGTAATATACATATACAGGGTGACTGGTGAATTACTATCGATATTTGAGGACGTGATATTTGACGATCATATATGACAAAATAAAAATTAATATAACATAAATATTAATAAACTTCTAAGTAAAGTTAACCAAAAGTTATGTTATTAATTACGCATCGTGTGAACACCCTACAGATTAGGTATACACACACACACACACTCGCGCGCGGAGGCGTGGTGTTGTATCAGCACGCCGCCGCACGCGTCCACACTTGGAACACTTGGAACGTGTCCACACTTTATTTATTTATACGGAAATTTGGTCAAAAATTAAGTACCTATTTTTTTTACATAATTCGAATGAGAATCATGTACCAAGTATTCTCCTTAAATATTGATAGTAATTCACCAGTCACCCCGTATACAAACTTTTTGAAGTAATACCTACTTCTTAAACACATACATATTTTTATTGTTTTTCTTATAATCTGCCTTTCACTTTTAACATAACAAACGATTATATATACAGAATATAAACATAAAGGAGTTTATATATGTTTTTTGTCATTCCATATAATTTACGACGATACATGAATGGCCAGTAAACAATTAATGCATTGAATAAAGTATGAAATCGATTGCAGTAGTTTCAAACGAAACTATTAAAATTAATAATACGCAATACGCTCTGAAGATTGTATACAATAGAATTGTATACTAGCTTTTCCCTCGACTATGCTTGGGAGTTATTTGACTTATATCCTAATGAAATTCTTTTCTGGATATTATGGCCTATGTTCGTCACCATCCTTTATACGTATGGAAAATTCCATTTCAATTGGTTAAGTGATTAAGGAACTGTAGGGGAACATACATACAAACATTCATATGAACTGTATATATTTTGTTACATGTTACGTACGCGCTACATATGAAGAAAAAATTACATGGCCCGGGGCGACATATTTGTATCGGTAAAATATCGTATAACAAGTGACGCCGCTGACTCCGCGGAACCAACACCAAGCCGTGTGAACCAGAAGATTCCATATACCACACAAGCTATAGAATTCCATTGTCATCCTAACATAGGGGCAATCATGTAGTCTTAGGAATCTATACTAATATTATAAAGCTGAAGAGTTTGTTTGTTTGTTTGTTTGAAAGCGCTAATCTCCGAAACTACTGGTTCGAATTGAATAATTCTTTTTGTGTTGGATAGTCCAGTTATCGAGGAAGGCTATGAGCTATATAACATCACGCTACGACCAATAGGAGCAAAGATATAGTGGTAAATGTGTAAAAAACGGGAGAAATTATTTCATCTTTGCAGCCTTCCGTTGCGTGCGCCGTGAAAACGGTTCAAGATACACAAAAAATATGTATTAAAGAATAATAGCTCTTTTAATGATCTGAAAAACAGTCCGCGACAGTTTATGTCTATCTTTTAAGATTAACTCACAAAAACCGTTTTTATGGTACCTAATTTTGTCGAAATAATTTGTTTAAGTTGTATCAAAATAATAATATTAATCTTTATTCATATAAACAAATAAATATGGTGTTGTTTAAGAGTACTTCATTATTAATAAAAAAAAAAACATAGGTTTCATCCTGAAAATTCTACGGGAACTCGACCATTCCGAAAACCCCGCAAGAACGGGAACTATGTGGACAGAACCAAAAATCTGTCGGAAGTAACTATTCCACGCGGACGAAGCCGCGGCAAAAGCTGGTAGGTTATAAGTTTTAATATGTAATTCGTATTTTAATATACATATAAGTAATGTTTCGTAGTTTTCCTGGAACCTCCGGTTGCCACTCTATATAATTTACATGACTTTTTATAACAAATTAAATAGAATTTAAAAAAATCTCAATAATAATTTCGGTTGTGGAATGAACATACATGCAGACAATCATATATATATATTACATTCATAACCAAACACTGATAACGTTATCACATACTACCGCTATTTATTAATACTCATGTATGCAAATGTAAATAGAGATTTAAGTGGAAACTGAAATGATGATGCAAATACTATGGTTCCAATAGTTTAGAGCAATCTGACTTCATTTACTTGATTTCCTGACAAGTTTAAATAAAACAGATTTTTTTTACTACGAAGAAACTGATCATATTTAAAAATTACATTCATTCTAACTATGTTGTGCATAAATTTTTCAATTATTAGTACTTTTAAAGAAAGTCAAACGACTTAATATAAATTCGCTATGCATTTTGCATAGATAAGATTTGAAAATTTGAGTTTAATTAACTACTTTCTTAGTATCTCAAAACGAAATCTCAATACATATATTCAGCTTTGAAATCCAAAATTAAAGAAAGTAAAACTTTATTAGCATGAGTTTTAATTAAAAATATGATTCCGATGGCCGTCTTAATATTCATGAATCACAGAAATTTCGATGTTTCATTGATTGTTTAATGAAAAACTTTAAAACTATTGTTTTTAACCAGCAGGACTGTTAGTATGGATAATTTATTACTCAGGTCAGCCATAAAATGTATTTTTTAATTACGGAATATTATTAAAATGGATATATGTATATTTAAGTTTGAAGCAAAAAAAACTATTGTAATCGAAATGGCCACCCTTCACTCTTGTACAGGCCTATAGTGTGTTTGGCAATAAATCTGATAATTTGCGCACTATTTCTAAGGGAAAGACTCATCGTCGCCGTGTCATTTAGAGCAGGCCATGTGCTCTAAAACTGCTCACAATTTAATTCTTAAAAGGTTGATTCAGGTTTCCGCTAGATTAATGCAAGTCTGCAGCTATCATAGAGTTCAGAACGCTGCTTTTAAGCTAGACATGAAGGGCTCGTGGCTTCTGACCAGAAGAAGATCACTAGATGAAATACGCGGTATATTTTTAACAAATGTATTGCTAAGAGGTTTGACAACACGATTTAAGCCTTCCAAGGCTGTATTTTAATACACTTTGGCTGAAATTTTCACTCCTGCTTCACAAAAATGTATTATGGTGATTCCTTAATAAGACATGCCAGACTAAACCATCACTGACGCAAGATGATGACCAGGTTACATCTTTCCAATTAATTAAGCAGCTTGTGTAGAACTTTATCATTTCACTCATTGTAATGCCCTTCAACCGTGACAATTGTCATATGGGTAAAGGGGTTATTTCTGTTATTTTGTGCCTTTCACCTGCCTTTCTCCACAGAAGGCGTATTTATTGATCCACTCTCTTTAATTGTAAAGATTGGTTTAGGGCGAGTCCTGTATATCGACGATGAGCAACAAGCTAAGTCTTATTTGATATACGCGAAAGACTACTAGCGGGAATCTTCCTTTCTCATAATAAGATTTTTTGTTTGCTAATTATGTTTCGACGAATACTGAAATAAATAACTGGTCTTCGATCGAGGAAATGTTGTTGTATCTATTGATAGAAGACTATACGAATATATTGCTGATACATAGCTCTCGAATATGACAGGGCTCCTTGTACAAGGCGAACACTGCAATCTTATTTTCTTTAACGCATGTTTTTATTGTATAAATAATGAAATTGTAATTTGATAATGAACGCGAAAAAATATGTGAAATGGCGCAAAATCAAAAGATTTAATATACATGTTCCAAATTCAAAATAGTTTAAAAAAAGTTTTTATTTATCAGTATTTATTGCCAGATTACTTATAGTCAACGTTATAAAGTATAGCTAGATGTGCTATAACAAAAAAAAACATCGAAAGAACGGCAAAGAATTTCTTATATTGAAGTTAACATTTAACTTTTTTTAGCATAAAAAACATTAAAGTATTGAGTTACACGTAGTTAATTTGTATGCGTATGGTGTAAATAATTTAAGGTATAAGGAAAAAACTGTTTTGAAAATATATAAAAAAAACTAGTTTTCCGAGGAGTCAATTTACGTAAAGTCAATGAATCATTAAATAACCTAACGGTTTAAAACGACGTGGTATTTTTATTGAAAATTACGAATATCAGGCTTTTGGTAAACGGGTATTTACTTTTTCATTTAAAAATAGCTTAATAATTTTACATTTTAATAAACTAAGATTTGACACATCGAAAGGATACATTGAATTGAGAAGATGCAACTATGTTTTAATATATTAATTGTTAATTAAAAACTTATTGATACCATTAGGATTCGAACCTACGACTTGAGAAACATGTCCTTGCAATCTTTAAGCTAACGTGTCAACTATACCCGAAGACGGACCATTTGTATGTATTTTATTTGATATTTTTCTATCACTATAATGCACCAAATACTTCATGATATGAATACATTTAACGAAAAATACGACAAAATTACTAGTGAAGTATTGACTTGATGGAAAAATTACAAACTCTAGGTACGCGTTCAAGTAGATATACCTAACTATTTATATAATTAATAGCATTAGCATGGACTGATTTTTTTCTCTTCTACATACTTCAACTTTCTATAACGTCGTAATACAGAAAGTACTTTGTTAGCGTTGAAAACCAAAACGCCTAGTATCCAAAAAAATCTTTAAAATCTTAGATATCATTATGTGAAGAACTTATATTTACAAGTAATTAAAATGGTAATTATAATATTACTAGCTTTTGCCGCGGCTTCGTCCGCGTGGAATAGTGACTTCCGGCAGATTTTTGGTTCTTCCCGCATAGTTCCGTTTCCGGTCGAGTTTCCGTAGAATTTTCAGGATAAAACCTATGTTTTTTTTTATTCACAATGAAGTACTCTTAACCAACAACATATTTATTTGTTTATTTGAATAAAGATTAATATTATTATGTTGATAAAACTTAAACAAATTATTTCGACTAAATTAGGTACCATACAAACGGTTTTTGTGAGTTAATCTTAAAAGATAGACATATACTGTCGCGGACTGTTTTTTAGATAATAAAAAGAGCTATTATTCTTTAATACATATTTTTTGTGTATCTTGATCCGTTTTCACGGCGCACGCAACGGAAGGCTTCAAAGATGAAATAATTTCTCCCGTTTTTTACACATTTACCACTATATCTTTGCTCCTATTGGTTGTAGTGTGATGTTATATAGCCCACAGCCTTCCTCGATAACTGGACTATCCAACACAAAAAGAATTATTCAATTCGAACCAGTAGTTTCGGAGATTAGCGCTTTCAAACAAACAAACAAACAAACAAACTCTTCAGCTTTATAATATTAGTATAGATTTGGTCCATAAGACCGCTGTACGAAAAACTGTTATTCATTAATTTTTAAACCATAAAAATATATATCATATATAAAAAAGTAATTAATTTATATTAAAACTAAATTAAAAACTTTAAAGTATACTGTTTTCGTTTTTCCATTTAGAAACACGTACGATTTAAATTAAAAACTAATTAACTATTTAAAGAAAAATATTCAAATATATTTTCCATTGACGTACTATTGGATATTTGATTGTGGAAAAACTAGATCCTTTGATCTATTAGCGGCGACGAAATGACAATTTATTTTATTCATATAAAAATGTGTAGATTATTTAAGAAGCTGATAAGTAGTCACAGATAAATTTATGTATAATATATATTATACATATAAATAGTTACAATAACTTCATTTATAAGAGAATTCTTATCTTTATATAAATCAACGGACTACAGCGTCTATTTAGATAACAGTTGCTTTACCATTAGTTCGCGTGTCACACTACAAACTACTAGTTTCCCGTTTCAATAACGTACGTTAATACTATATGCCATTTATGAATGGAGTACTCGAAACGCTGAATGCGTAGTGACGGTGCAAACTCGTGGTAATCATAATTAGTATGAGCTTTATAATGTAAAATAATATTATTGATTTTTTCTATATAAAATATTACCTAGTCATTCAAAATTTTGAATCGACTTTGAATATAATAAATTCCCGTACATATGTTATTCTAAAACAAGGCATAAAGAATTATTTTTTTTAACTTGTACCTAACATTAAATTTTTTTATACAAAAAAAACTTCTTGCGATAAACTAGTCAGATGAGCTCTATGTGTGAATTGTATCGCTTAATATAATAAGGAAATAACGCACTTAACAATGTATTACTTTATACATTTTCCGGATTTATTTTATAGAAGTAATATTAAGTCAAACCAACCTTTAGACTTTTCAATCAAGTAAAAATGAATTTTATCTTGATACGACTTAAAGATCCTTTTCCCTTGCGATACTACGATGTTTAGAACAGAATTACTAGACACTAATACTTATAGGCCTTGCAAATATAAATCCTATAGAAAATCTTCACATTCTAACTACCTACGTTTATTCGAAATATAACATGTCACAGGTTAGAAGCGGTCAATTGATAAGTGAGGTACTTAGGTATAACAAAAAAATAAAATAAAAAAGTTAACAAAATTCAAATATAGAATACTATGTCTTAAAAGAAAACCGTTACAACATGAATATTTTAGTTAACCTTCTGTTTAAAACAGTTGTGCAAACAATAATAAAATATAAAAATCTTTAACACAATGACATTGCTTAACTCTACTTCGTATTTACTATTTGAACGATAAAGACATAAATGAAGGTATATTTTGACAATGTGTACTAAGTATAAATAATTTATATCTTGATAAGAAATATCGGAAGATAGAAAATTTTAAATTACATATATCAAATGTCCTTTAATATACTTATTATCTGTACTGTATTGTACTACAAAGTTCTAATAGTATTGAATCCTTATAATAGTATTATTAAATGAAAATAAAAAGTATACTTTTTAAGTTTCATACAATCCATTACAGACTGCAGCTACAAGCGACAATATAATAAAAATTCAAAATTCGTATTTACCAATGTGAAGGAAAGTTTTTAAAACAAAATAAGGTTTTATAATGGATGTATAAAGAGTTTGAGTCAGTAAAAGTATAATTTCGTTAGTGAAAAAAAAACCTTTCAAAAACATAGCAAATATAAAATTTTATCCTATAAATACAGTATGACTTTCAATTAATTGTTTTTGAATGAATTTGTAGAGGGCATTATGTCATTTCGAGCAAAGAATGGTTCATTGTTCTATTTATTTGTATCATATAATATTCAATTTATAGACATAGGAATAATAATTATAATGATATTAATATTCTTATCTTTGTTACTAAAGTAATTCGTTTCATTTAAACAACAATAAATTTTATCCTGTCATAAATCAAGAAAAATCTACAAGGCATTATAATTTCGAACCTTTTTTTGTCAACAATTAAAGTAGATTATATAGGAATTAAAATATTTTTAATATAAAAAAAATATGTCAAGTTTAGTACTGGCAGTATACATAAGATATCAATGAGAGAAGAAAAAAAATAGTGACAATAAGAAAGAAAATAAATATGCTGTAATACCAGTTAAAATTTTGCAAGATTATTATTAATAAATATATAATAATGTTACAAGTTATATTATGTAAATTGTTTGAAGATAATTTTTATAAAAACAACTACAATATTATAAAAAATCACCTAGTGTACTTTACTTTTATGATATGATCTTTACAAGAACATCATAAAGAATGAAAAATATTTTTTATTATATTTATGAATGAAGTTTTTAATGAAATTATCTAATTATTTTTTAATTGAATAATTTAATATATTAATTTCCAACACTTACAGGGTTTAAAGGGAAAATATTTACTTAATGTTTCTATTTATTTAAATTTTATTAATAAGTAATTATTTCTGTGACAAATCATATAAACGTGAATCAAATTCATAATTCATTCTCCATGGTATATTGTAGTTTTCTTTTTAAATGTTATAAATTAAAATTAAATATTTCATGTCATACTAATTCAAAATTTTGTGAATAGTGCAGAACTTTAGAAGAAAATAATATGATATATATTAAAATGTACCTATACATATTTTAGAATTTTTGTAATGTTTTTATTTTAATTATGATGAGAAAAGAACAATTATCTCACAAAAGTTTCTTGAAGAACTTATAATTTTATTTGAATAGATATATGTGTAGTCTTTTGGATTTAATAAAGAACGGACTAAAGTAAATCCTTATGTTCTTTTAAAGAAAAATTCTAGATAAAATGGAGTTGTATTGATCTATCAGAAATTATCAAAGTGTTTGAAATTAATATGAAATAAGTATTATGATCAGTGAGGAAATGTAAATAAAAATAAGAAAAATTTAAATTGGTCATATCAAGAATATAAATTGTATATAAAAACAATTGAATTACTTCAAATAAAACATACCAACAACCTTTGCAATAAAAAAACATCAAAATAATTAATATAAGAACAAAAGAAAAAAAATAGTTTAAATAGATTGTACTCACATAACATCATATTTGTTGAGTTGAGTCCAAGGTAATCAAGAAATCTGTCTGTTCCGAATACAAACACAGCACCAAACAAGAAACCCACGGCCACCGGCAGGAACGCATACTGTCCTTTGTCACCATATAAACCAGATTCCACACACATCTCTATAGCTGGCTCTAATAGAGACCAGTAAGAAGCCGCCGTCATCACTCCAGCGGCGAAACCCAGCGACACATCTAATAATTTCCTCTGAAAATAAACAAACATTCCATTTTCAAATATTCCACAGATAAAAGATTCTCTTCAGAAGCGAGTCTCATTACATGTTTTCCTCTGATAAAAAACACACATCCAGCCCCCGCTGCAGTCAGACCCCACGTCAGAATGGTGCCAAGAAGGGCTTGCGTCACAGGACCGTAGCCGGGAAGCATTTTAATTATATTTTTTTAAGTAACTAGTTTCAATTTAAGTACTATTTCGAACACATATTTCAAGTTATGTTATTAAAGTAAGTCAATGTTATCTATCACGATCTTTTTATACCAATGCTCCACATGTTTATCGTACTAACTTTTGACAGCACATAACTGATTGCTGTCATAAGACGTAATCTAGCCTCATATAACTATGTTTGACACATGCTTATGTCAAATGATAAATGTCAAATTGTGTACATTATAATTTGAGTTGTCAAAGTAACTGTTTCACAGTTTTGTATTTCTTTAAAATCAGTTACAGGAAAAAATATAACTCATCGTAAGTACAATTGTTATTGTATAATTTAAATATCAAATTTCTTACACTATTATATGATATATTGTATTATATAATTGTTTTTATTAGAGTAAATTTTATTTAATATAATATTTCTGTAATTATTATTTATATCTTAATTTATTTTTTATATTACATATACAATATATATTTCTATTTACAAATATTTTAAGCATATTTTCTGTTTCTGAACTAAGATGATGCTCTTTCCGTTTGCTTCGTGTTGTTTTGTAATTTGTATGATCAAAGAATCATCACCATCGGTTTGTATTTCAAATAACATATTGGAAAGGGACTTCTCAATTACTTTTATTTGAATATGGGCATAATTTTGATTGATGTAAAATAGCCTTTGTATTACAAAATGTACACCACTCCTATACTTTGCTATAATAGGTATATATTAGAATTATCGATATAGTGGTTAATTTTTTTATTGATTTCATAATTATTATATTTTAATAGTCATTGGTTATTTGAAGTTCCACAAGAATAACAAAATAAGTTGAGTAGGATATTAATAATAAATAAATATGTATTTTTCTATATTTATTTTTTATATAATAAAAATACATTAATACTAGGTATATAATGTTATTTGGTGTTCTTGAGACAACTTTGTACAAACATTGTAAAATTGACGCAAATAACTACGTCCTCGTTTATTGAGATAATTCTTTATTCTATTTAAGCTACTGTACGTGCCGCGTTAAACGTCTAGTTAAATTTTATGTACTCTCGTATGTGTTATCTTAACTTTATAAGGCAAATTAATACCTGTTTAAAGTACTTAGTGTATTTTATAAGCATAATAAAACGGTATTTTGTAAAGAAATTCTTATATTAATATGGCGACGTCGTGACTTATATTTTATAGGAGATAAGGAAGTTTGTATTTCTTACTCATACTCGACGGTCTATAAAAGAAAAGATTTGAACCGACTCCTTCATTCTTCTCTAAATCTCTGCTAGTTTAACAACACTGAAAAGGTTTTTTTTTGAAATCAATAGTATTTTCAAGAATAAAAAACTCCAGAGAGAACAAATTTTTATACAGAAAAATAAGCTTTTAATCCAAAGTTTTTAAAATCTAAGACTCAGTTTTTTTTATTAATTATACCTTTGATGAACTTACCAAAACCGATAAAAAGAAAAATTAAAATAAGTAGATTAGTATTTTACTTTATGCTGTTTTTTTTAAGAAATTTTTCAAAACCTATTATGTATTAGCCTTTACTATGTTTACAATGAATTTCTCCAATTTTATCAAACCTTTGTAAATAATAAATTACTTTAAGCCTCATTTGTTATAAGAAGTTATATTAATTATAAGTTATTATTAAGATTTATTGAAATGAGTTATTTTAATAAATAAATGTCATGTTTTGTTCTTATTTATTTGACCATTAGGTATTACCAAATAAAGTGTGCAAAATAATTTAAAATATTATTTGAGTAAGAATATATTAAAAAGAAGAGATAATTGAAGGAGGTAAATTAATAATAATAATAATTCTCTTAGTAATAGCTTGATCATTATTAACAGTTTAAAATAACATGACTGGTTTAAAAAAGTTTTCGTACCAGAACCATATAAAACAAAGAAGTAAGAACCTAATTTTATAGTTTTAAGTTTGTTATAGATACTAATTATATACCCAAAATTTAATAGATATTAAAAGTAATGTTTTTTTAGGAACATTCATTAAACACTTCATTGACCCTGTCATTACGATTGTTTCCAATTCTTTATTATCTGTGTATTTGCGACCTCCTTTGTATAATTTGTTTCATTTGAGATGGGAAACCGTTATTTCTTTCACGACGATGATATGCAATACCGGAACATATTTAAGTTTTAACTATCTTTTGCATAAACTTTTGTACCTCTATTATTAAAATTTCAAACACATAATACATAAGATATCTTTTAATGTATTATTATTTTCTAATTTTCACTATATAAAGGATACGAAAATAAACATGATGTTCTTTTTGATGAAAATTGATAGTATTAAAAAGTACGTAAATTTTTAATTGAAGATTTTATTTCCTTATGCCGTAAATATTCTCTTAATCTTAACGTCTTCTAGTTACTTCTAGAGATTTATTCATAGTTTGGGAGAAACGCTTACAAACTTCTATTTCTAGGACTACTATTTGGATTTGTATGCCTCTATTTCTCCATAGTTTATAAACAAAAAAAATAATTCTAAGAACATTACACCAAGGCATTCGGACATTCATATTCACCAAAAAACAAATAAGCAAAAACTTAATCGAGTTTTAAAATGCGTTAAATTAATATTCATATAACTCTCATCTTAAGTCTTAACAACGAGACGTTATCGAATAATAGTTGTAGAGATGGCGCGATGTATGCAACGTTATCTAAGACTTAAGAGGTGGTTGAAACATCGATGGACCCATCCACCGTATCGTAAGAACGAGTATTCCGCTAGATCGTCATTATTTAAATTTTCGCTGTACCAGTCGTTAGTTGGTTCCGGTCCTCGGTTCTGTCCTATTTTATTTTACTCTGAAATTACGATTAGTTCAATCAAAATCACAGCCGGTCACCCGTAATGGACAACCGTGTGAACGACCCGTTATACAAACAAATCAAAAAGTATTATAATTATCAAAATCATTATTAAATAAAATATATAAAACCTATTTACATTTATAGATTAAGAGAATATTAACTAAAAGCGTTCGATTTTCAAAAATATCAAATTTAGAATTCGAGGTTATTAGCAGGAATGGCGTCGTATATCTAAATGTTTTCAAGCTAAAAGTCTAGCCAGTTTTATATGATGCGCATTAATGATTTTCATGCACGTCTAGTGATTGTGTAACGGGTACGATTTACTGTATATATCGTTTTCGGTGTCCAGACCGGGGACGTGTTGTCACGAGCACGCGGAAGATTTCAAGATCATCAATCATAGAATTCGATTCGCACATCGTTGTAATGCTCGCAAAAACAAGATGGCACGCGCTCGTGGCGTTCCCTAATGACTTACAATACGACTTGGATAAGAATGTACAATAAAATGCATATGTGATTCATGACTTCTAAATTATATTCTAACATTATTCTCAATAAACTTTTCTTTTAAATTAAACTTAAAATATCAGCATAGTTAGACTATTTGAACGTTTCATATCTACAATTAAAAACAAAAAGCCTAAAACAATGTTTGTTAACGAGTTAGTTGTGACTTCTAAGTAATGTTGATAAGGTTTGTATTATAGAAATATTAAAAATTCCTTCAAAACCAATTTCTACCAATTCCTGTTTTTATTCCGAAATTATGAAGTTTCACTTCTTGCGGGCGGAGGGACACAATGAACAATTATTTTTATATAATATTAATATGTAATAAATAAAAGTATATTATATTAAAATTCTCTCAATTTATATAACTTAATACTATCAATATAATTGAATAGACACCTCTTTGCTTAAATAAGTACGTATTCTTGAAGACGCAACTTTTTAATTTTCGTATATCTACAACGATTTTTCCAAATATTTTATTAAACAATACATGCCTTTAACTTTCCCTCCAAATCGTACATCTTCAAATGCATTTTTTTATATTTATTTGAAGATTTGGGTTAAACCGGCAACCTAGTTCGTGACCACGACGGATAATGTTCTAAAGTGGGTGGTAGGTAGGCTGTATGTAATATTTCATGGCGTTGAAATCGAAATTAAAAACACAATTTCTTAACTTTCATTTCACCTTTCGCATTAACTTCGATTTAAATTAAACTTGATGTTTTTTGTTTTCGCATTCAATAACTTAATATTACGATGTTATATAATAAACAAAATCTCGAAACGATCTGTACGTAGTGTGTAATAAAACGTATAAACGTGTGGTAATAAATACAGATTGAAATGTCGAAATACTTTGAGATTCACTGCGAAAATAAAGATTATAAGATGTTAAGAAAACGAATATTTCATCTTCTTTTTTACCTAAAGATTTAATGTTTGTATACGTATATTTATACCCTTTATATATTGTATCTTTTTTTATGAAAATGTATATTTAGGTATATGCACATTTATAACACTATAGTCTATAATTGCCGCCACCAACCTTAAATAGCTATCTGTCAGAAATGTCATTCGGTTGTCCGAAAAATCATCTGTTAGCCATACAGTCATCTGAAGATGATCTGAGTATGCAAGTATTAAATCTTATTTATATAATACAGTAAGAATTTGGTGTACAATAAAGAGTAATAAAACATTTAATGCATATTTAATTTTGTTCACGTTACTTAAACACGGTTACAGTAACGACAACTAAGACCTTTTTTTATCTTCGTTTGAGTTAAATTATTTTTTAAATATGTTGTATAGTACTTGACTTTCTGCTATTTTAATTATTATTATATATTGAAATACATTATTATATTTTTTAAATATAAGGGAAGAAATAACTTCTGTAGCCAACATTGGTTGGTTTGTTTTTTAAATATGGCCTTCATGGTAAAGACATGCACAGTATATTCTGCCAGTGTCGTGTAATAGACAACATTTTCCTTGAATGAAATTCCCGCTTTATCTATCAGTTGTCACTGTACAGTCTACTGTCATTAAGTTTTTATGAGCATTCTTAGATTACAAAGTTTTTTGTTAATCTGTGGACAATATTGAAGTTTTAATAGATTAAATAAATTGTAATTTAATAAAATGATCATCTGAAACTTATAGTTTGGAATTTAAAAATAGTAGTATAAATAAGTAAATAATATTTATTAATAATAGGACTTACCTTTTACATTGGCATACAAAAAAGAAAAAATAGGATAGGTGCATATGTTTAAGGATTAAGGTTATTTTTTTTCGTTTGTAATCTTCTTTATCAGTAATTATTTGTAAAATAAATTAAATTACTTTAAACTTCACCCACGTAGCTTTTCAATTTGGAAACTTAAATTGCTTAAAAACCTCATTATTTTTATCTCGATTTTAAGGGATTTAAATCATCTGGCTAAAACTGTGAATTAAAAGTAAAGTTGAACTTGTACGAATTTGTCGGTTACATTTTGTTAATAAGTTCTAGAAGTCATCTAAAACAAATAAATAATAGACAAAATATTCATAGAAGTTATTTCATTACGTACCTATTAAGTGTGACAATTTAGTAATATTTTACTTTTGATTTTTATTTATTTAATACTTTAATATGTATATACACACAATAAAGAAAGACATATTGTTTATGAAAGACTGTTCAACTTTCAAATGGATATCTTTTTCAGACAACCTAAGGAGAACATTGATTGGTCTATTCATCATTTGCTTTTTTAACATCGTGCGAATAGTTGTCAATTTCACTGTACCATATTCAGTAGGTATTGTATAGGTATCTACAATTAATTAATTATTAATTGAAAAGTTGGTTAATTTCCAACAATATTAGATGCGAAAGTTTCCAAACTCAAATGATGTCCTTAAAATACTATTTGTTTAGAAGTTTAAAAAAAAAACTTCTTGCTTAAACTGAAATTGGCGTCTTAAGCCACAGTCAATGTTTATTATTGTAGTAAACTCACATTAAAACGTATTGTATATGTAAGCTCGCAAACTACTCGTACACACAATACTACACTACAAACTACAATCCATTGTTTGTTTCTCTGAATCTATATGGGTTAATAAATCAAATACTTATCGCAGTTCATCTCAGATATGATTGACTTTCTATAAAGATTATAATTACAACTCATAGTCTACGTGGCTTCGGACAAATAGCATATTTAGTTATCTTATCTGTGATCTACGTTCGGTATGAAGACCGAGCAGCATTCGCGACCTGAGCCACTGTCACTCAATCAGTTAGATTTCTCTCAAATGTCACGGCAAAGCATCTGCGGTCCGCGATACCTACTAATTCCCTATAATCCGAGTCCAATCAACCAATCAGCTATGTAGATCACGAGATTGTATATTTGCGAGTTCTGCTATCGTGAGAACAGGTGGTAGGGGTCCTCCCAAGCTTCTGTGGGCTAACTGTCCGCCGGGTAAGTTGAGTGCACAGTGCTGTACGGAGTCGCAAGCGCACCACGCGTCTTCCGAAGTGTTCTTGCGCGGGAAAGCTCTTTAAACTGGCGCGTTCCTCGAAGCTGAATAAAATTAAGAGTGATCGTGTATTATAGAACTAGTGACTGTTTCAGGGTTGTCATAGTTTTTGTTTTGTGGTAACATTAGTAAGGTAATCGGGGCAGATAGTTTTAACGGTTGGTATCTCGCTCGAGTGTGGCAGACCGCAAGCATGACGGGCGCCACCAGCTGTCTTATAGTGCTGCTACTTTTGGTATGATCTATTATTTGTTTTTTAGCGTAAAAATAGCATTTAGTACAAACATATTTTAGTATATTTTTATCTTAACAAAAAAAATAGAAATTAAATACGTTCGCGACATATTAACATTTAACAGCTCTATTCACAATATATTTAAATATTAAAACAGTTAATTATTATAACAGAACAAGGGAACCATTTCATTTTATAATTAAAACACAAAAAGCCATGATTTTTTTTCTTAAATTTTATAAACAATTGGTCGTGTTGTGAAAAGCTTTGCGTATTGTATAACAACAAAATGAAGATTCATATTTTGTATTAACCAAGTGTCGTGGTGACCTGGAGTTTAAGAGCCCGTCTCTCGTGCATGAAGGTGCGAATTCAATATCTGGCAAGTACCTTTCAATCTGATGTTTTCCGAGTTAAATGTTCTTTCTAAAAGTATTAAGACACCACTGACAAGTGTTGCAGGAAAACATCGCGAGGAAACCTGGGCTTACAATTTCAAATTATAAGTTTCCAATCCGCCTTGAGCAAGCATGTTGATTAATGCTTTAACTTTCTAAACATAACAAGAGGCCTTTGCCCAGCAGTGAGCACCAATGCACCAAGGCTGATAATAATTAACCAAGTGTGAACAAAATCTAATCTGGAGAAGCTGATCTCTAGGAAACGTTATAAATATCTATAAACATATTTCTTTTATAAAATAAAAAGATAAAATTATTACAACGGTTAATAAAAAAATAACAACAATTATAATTTCCTGGCAAAAAAAAAGACGTTTAAAATGTAACGGTACTAATGTAATTACAACATTTAATCACATGAATAGCACAGAAACGTGATCGAAACGATTAACAATATAGAATTTCACGGTTTGGGCAGTTTTTTGACGCACAATGTACCATACGAATTTGTAAGAAGCTGCGACTCTAACAAATTTGCCGACTAACATTATATACGATGACGGATCTGTATACAAAATGTATGACATTTTAACTTCATATTCGTATTTTTGAGATAAATTTATGTCTTTTTTCATAAATGTTTCTACAGGATACGAGTTCTTTTGAGCCAAAACTAAAATTTATATGTCAATTTCATAATCTTACCGTTTTGTGTCATATACACGCGCAATCTCCATATAACTACATCTTAATATTATGCAACAAAAATAAAAGTATAATACCTCCATTGAACCTTCCGTCCGCGCTGCCCTCAAGCCATAAAGTTTAAGTATTATATAGTTTGAATATGTAATGACTATAAACTACGTATTTCTTATTGTTATGAAATAACAAGAACTTAACGTCCATGAATAATAGCTTTTGGTGTAAAAAATTAATATTACCAGCAACAATATTACGTTATAAAAGGTAAAGGCGTCTGTCATGTGTGTAATACATGCGCGTGCGCAGCATATAGCTCTTGAATACTTTTATATCTACATTGAGCTGTCGTTGTTAGATTTTATTGATCTCGCTACTAATAAAACTTTGTTATTAAATAGTTTTTAAGAACATTAAACCAATGAAACAAAAATTAACCAAAAATTTATATTTATGAAAATACCATAAAATAATCAAGTATCTTTTCTATTTCGATTACATATAAATAATAAGAATTTAATGAAAGGATAAATATTCAACTATATTAAAGAAAAGGTCCGTAAAACAGTCATATGTTATGTAGTTTATACACAAAAATGACCGAAATAAACCAGATACAAAAAGATCAAACAGCGATTTATAAAACAGGTTAAAGGCTTTAATATTTTTATCCGAATATATATTTATGAGCAATACGCCCTAAAATATTTTCGTTATTTTAAAAAGAAAGGTCAAAATTCACTTAAATATTAAGGTAAAGAATCATTATAAAAAAATATCAAGAATGCATAAGCATGAGTGTATTTAAATTTTGTTTTTTGTTACGTATTCTAATTCGGTTATTTCACGAAAGCTTTCGCGTGTATTCATTTAACTAATTCGCAGGTTTTCAGATATGCTACGCGTTTTTTATTATTATTCAAGTTTCAACTACATACCTACTTCCGACGTTTTGGTTCATTTGCAGCAACCGTGATCATAGACAGACGAGATAAAAGTTTATCAGTTAGTCCTAAACCACTTAAAATTATCTTAAAATCAATTATTTGTTTTTAAGTTCGCCATTCTGTAGTCTGTACCAATACCATATTACCTGTAGTTAACCATGATACCTACTGTTTAAAATATCAAATTAGTAACCTTACTACAACTTTACAAGTAAACTATTTATGGAAAGTTTCTAGTTCTTCATATTTAAATCTTCGCAGAAGATACTATCAATTTATAAATGAAAAACGTTTAGTTTGACGTGACCAACTTGTAGTAAGGGTAGGACTTAATAAAAAGTTATACGAACGATAGCTTTGTTCTTAAGAATCAATTAAAAACTTAGACATTTGTGCATAAAACCCTCATTAGCGGTCAAATGAACATAGCTGCCTATGATTATATATGTATTATGAGAACGTACAAAAAAGGCGAACGCGTCTTTAATCGAGCTTACTAGGGTAATATTAATTTCCTCCTGACTGCATTTGGTATTAACATATCATTTGTAAAAGTAAAAAGTACACTAAGTAATATTATATTGAAATTTGCGCATGTAATGGAAAATATAACTTTTTTTATTTTTAATGTTGATTTATCTCAGAAACAGAAATGAAATAATCAAAGAAACATGATCGCAAAACTATTTACAATAATTATTTTATTGTATTTGTTGGTTTTATATTAATAAATATTTTTTGTTTTTTAATTTTCTTTAGGAAAATTCCTACTTAGACTATATAGTTACATATATATGACTACATATTATACATATTATATAGTTGATAGAAATACGTACACGAACTATGTATGAACCAATCATTGCAAATATGTTTTTTGTTATATGTTTAAAGGATTTTTAATAATTGTCAAATGAATATTTTTAGGGGATAAATGAAACCTTACAAATATTTTCGTAGAAATTCATTTATTTTTACGACAAAAATTATATTTGATGTTTGCATTATCCATTCCATTATTGTAACCATAGAACAAAAATGTTGAAAACTAACGTTTATTTTTGGGTATTCAATAAAAAACCATATATGAAATTATTATTAAATGGCAAACAAACTTTTGAATATCAAATAAAGATAACGTTCTTGGCATATATGAAAATTTACATCATTCGTCGAATTTTTATTTATTTATTTCAAAGAATCGAATTGAATCTCGACTTCAGATAAAATTCATTATAAACATTGCGTAAGTGTTTTACACAAACGCGTTCCCTACAGATCATTATAACATAATAAGGCATTTGATGACAATTCGCCTGAGAAAGCGATAACACAGCGTGGGACAACAAAGTTAGGGAGAATTATAGCTAATTGATCCTTTGTTTAAACATATCTTTGTATCTCGACGAGGAACAGGAAGTTTATAGTGAAAATTGTTATAAAAATAGTTGGAAGTAAATGGAAATATTTATGTTATTTTATCAAAATGTAACAGTACTTATTATCGTAAGGGCGATCTGTACAGACCATGTGAAAGGTAAAATTCAGAATTCCCTACAGATATCACAGCATCAAAGGCACGTTTAATATAATGAGATCAACCATTTAGGTAGCATTTATTTTAAGGCATTTAGTTTAATGAGTCTTAATGTTCTAACATAAACTTTCAGATATAAATTTTTGCTAATGTTTTTAATTATGTACGTGCTGAATTAAAATAAAATAATAGTATAATATTACAGTTTTAATGTTTATTATTATAATTTACGAGTGTAGTACAGTAAGTCAATGGTGTCTCAAAATACTTTCAAACAATTCAAATTCTTTTGTATTATTTAAGAAAATTACGTAGATTCGTTATTAAAATTACAATGAAGAATCAGCCAAGCTTAAAAATATAGCAATCAGTGTGACATTCCTTCACAAGTCATCACCAAAACTAAACAACCATTTGGTATCGATTTGCTTTAGTGGTTTACCATTAAATTACGGTTGACTTTAACCGTAATAATGAAACTGTACCATATCGCGCTATGACCGGAAAAAGTAGGCAAAAAGAAAATCGTTATGAATATCATAGGTTCATATTTATTGTAATCACCTTAAATATTCAAACATTTAATGGGTTTCATTTAAGTTTACAAAATAAATGTAATTAAATTTACATTTTCATGCTTGATGGATGTATTTAGTTTATAAATAATGTAATTTCATCAATGTTAAGAGCGGATTATCGTCGTTCCAAGATAGTGAGGTCTTGGAAGATACTCGTACATTTAAAGTCAATAGCAGTTGGTTGAATTAAATCTGGTAATATTTTTTATGAAGTCACAGGTCCCACAAACCTTCCTATAACCTTTATAATTCATGGTTATTCATAATATCATATAGTGTGATGTAGATATTTATAATCTCTTTATATATTGTGTTCAATTTCGATGGTGCATGCCTATCATTCCACCCGTTGGAAGATGGAAATGAATTCGTAGGTTGCGATAGCATTATCTCAGTATCAGTCTATTCACCGATTTTTATATGTATATAAGTCACAAAACCGATTTTGGATATTTTTTCTGGTAAATATCGTCTCAAGGTAAAAAAAATAAATCTACAGCTCTATGTTTGATTGAATTAATAATGTGGTTGTAATGAAATCTCACATCTAAACACGTTTTTTTTATTATTTAAGTATTAAATATTGCTTTTATATGCATTTAGTAAGTTTTTATTAGATACAGTAAATTTAGCAACCCAGTACAATTTTACTAAATATATTTGCATTTGAAAAACTTATTTTTGTTTATATGCAACGTATACTGTATAAGTATGTGTGAATTAAAGTTGATTAAGAAGTAAAAATAAATTCGTTCCAAATAACATTTAGATATCACAAAAAGATCGATATTGGAGCGGTGCAAAAGTCTCTTGGTAACATTAATAAAGCGTGAGCTGGAATTCTTTATAGCACAATGTTATTGAGCTTATTGTGTGACCCTTGTAAAGTTCATACATGGAGAATAAGACACGATATCAGCTTGAGAAAGATCAATTAATTTTTAAGCCTTCACGCTGGATAACCAGAGCGGAACGCTTTTAGGAAAATCCCGTTCGCCAGACTCCCAATTTGCATACATGAGTTTACTAACGAGTAACGTGCAAGCAAAGGTCAAACACAAACCCCTTTAAATATATTATTTGAAGTTTTAACGGTAAGTGACATTTACTGCCAACTGGACAGCATTATCACCAAATATTATCTGTGACAGTTCATAATTTAAGCTGAAATACAAAGTAGATATTTATATTTATAAATAAAAATAATTGCATGCAAATTTATGTTTTTAAATATATATAAATATAAATTATATAATTTTTTTAATGAAATATAAAATCATTAACTAAATCTCGTCATCTCAATACATTCTTAATAATGCTAAATAACAGTCTTACCAAAAAAGGATGCATGACTTTGCATGCAGTAAAACTATCTGTATGGCCGTTACATGCGTTATAAGGTATGAATATTTCTTATATACAGCTGTTGTTGATGAATATTTAAAAAAATGCCATCTATTGTTGACGATCTGAACTAGAACAGTAGTACTGCAAGTAACAATAATGAGAACAAATGAACAGTAATCATTTCTTACAAATGATTGATATTTTCTGATCACGTATTAAATGGATATCACAAACGTAATGGCCGCAGTTGTCAGTTGGCCGTCCAAAAAGATCGTATCGCTTGACATTAGATTTTGCGGTTTATTTGAAGCGATTCGTCTGTTCTGAAAGCGGTTGTTACTGGCATCACTATTTCTTATAGGATTACTTTAACATTTACAAAAAAAATAGGATAACTTTTACTAATGCCACCGATCTACCCGTCAAAATCGAAAGTGTCAAAATTATACTCATTTTTAAAGTATAAACTGAATGAAGCCAATAGCCTAAATGAAAAAAGTATACATTGTTTTTTTTTTTTTTTTTCAAAATAAAGTTATTATGTACGTTTATCTAATATCTTTTGTATTGTTTTCTAAGAACATTTTTTTCTAAATGAATTTTGGCTTAAATTATTCTAGTCAAATTGTAAATTATTATGCATTTATAAGGAAACTTGTGTTTTAACTCCAAGTTTGCATCGTCATAAAATACGGTGCGTCTCCGATTAAGTTTTCGATTATTATATATATCTCCGATTAAGTTTTCGATTATTATATATATCTCCGATTAAGTTTTCGATTATTATATACAGGGTGACTGGTGAATTACTATCAATATTTAAGGAGAATACTCGGTACATGATTCTCATTCGAATTATGTAAAAAAAATAGGTACTTAATTTTTGACCAAATTTCCGTATAAATAAATAAAGTGTGTACACGTTCCAAGTGTTCCGAGTGTGGACGCGTGCGGCGGCGTGCTGATACAACAACACGCCGCCGCGCGCGTATGTGTGAGTGTGTGTGTATACCTAATCTGTAGGGTGTTCATACGATGCGTAATTAATTACATAACTTTTGGTTAACTTTACTTAGAAGTTTATTAATATTTATGTTATATTAATTTTTATTATGTCATATATGATCGTCAAATATCACGTCCTCAAATATCGATAGTAATTCACCAGTCACCCTGTATATCTCCGATTAAGTTTTCGATTATTATGTATAATATGGTATCAACGTGTTATTGAATAAGAAACGGAAAAAAGCTTTGAATGTTATATGATTAGGCAAATTTATAGTCAGCATTTACTAAATGACTGATTTTATAACAGCCAATTATAACATATACTAACTAACTAACAATCATCATTATATAATACACGACACATTTTCGATAATAATTTTAACATTCTCTCGAAATAAATAATGCTAAAACCAACAAAGCAATCAAATGTCATCAGTTTATGGCGCGTAATATTTATCTGTGAATACTGTGACCGCTGTGTAAAACATTCATTTTAAACACGAATTGGTTGTGTAATTTAAATGACTTTTAACAATATATAAGACGAAGTGTTTAATTGTGTCCGTCTGAATGTTTGAATGTTCATTGTTTCAGGTTCCGGCCATCTTAACACAAGATTACGACGGTGAGTGGAAACAATACAAATTAAATACGCACATACGCTTCGGATTTAACTGTTTGAGCGCTAAGCGTTTACGATTTTGTTTCATTTCCTCCATCTATAATATTAATATCACTAAATATAATTCTTTGTTAAATTATCTGTTATAACCTATTTTTTATTTTTATTAGATACATTTTACTTGTTTGAATTCTTTTTAACTGTTTACGAACTTAAATACATAAGTTATAATATGATTATATATAGGGTATAGTTTTTACTATACATATTAGTAAATTCTTCAGAGTCAGCATGAATCTTTTGAATTTATATAAAGAAAAAGTCTCATTTATGGCCATTTTCAGTGACTGACATCCAATGCACATTCGCTACCACCGGCTCTGGTATACGAGACTCCGTGTCAGCGTTGTTAAGGAAGCCCGAGGGGTTCCGTGGGGCTCCGCTGTTCGCTGACGACCGCGCCACAGACCCCATCGCAGACCCCGTCTGTCAAATAAGACCCGAGCCCGAAGACCCCACTGGATTACTATACAGATTACGAATAACAGATTTCACGAAATGCGGCGTACTAAAGAGAAATGTATGTAATTTGATACATATATAATGTGATATTTAATCTAGATTTGCGCCATTATAGGTCAACTTAATAACAATAAAAGTGTAGGACAAAAATGTATATGTTAACTGAATGTATTGTGTTCAATAATTTATTGCCGTTTCAGCTACATTGTGAGTCTCAATATGGAATACAAAGACGAAACGATAATGACATTTTCATTACTATATAACGATGTGACAATTTCAGATAAAAATTTGTTTCGTCATCCATTTTATTCTAGTAACATTGACATATAATAGGTATTCCGTTAAAATAACAGTATGTACAGCTTAGTGGGGTAACAACGAGGCTACCTACCATAGTATTATGTGAGACGGGGACCGGTAATATTGAGGCGTTTTGTGGAAACTGAGACATGTTGAACGACGTTCATTAATAACAACTGTGCTCTATACATACATACCTGACATAAATATGTCATTTATAAAGTGTGGTACATACGGCAAAACATCGCCGTCAGCTGATTATTTTTTTCGTCATTACAGACACGTTATAATTCAAGCTTTATTGGATACTTCTATATTTTGCTAATTCAATAAAGAGAATTAAATTTGACTAATTTTATAATTATATGTGGTTGAGTTCGGTCTTGAGTCATACAGACACAATGGCGAAATTCAGGATAGAACTTTGAAATGAAATAACGATTTATACAATAAAATTCTTATCATATGTAGATTTCTATTACAAATAATTTTTTGTTCGCAAAATCATTGTTAAAATAAAATTCAGAAGAAGGTAAAATTCTTTTTATATAAAAAAATCTAAAAAATACAAATGTTAATCGAAATTACGTCGTAATATATGTCAATGTTTCGCGTGACAGATCTCATAAATCATAAGCATATTTATTATAATATAGATTTTGCAATACTACAATCAGAAGCAAGCAATTTGTTCAAGTCTACAATATATTTATTCAATATGTATTTTCCGTGTAAGGGTTTCGTGCACGTCCGCATCTGGTTCCCTCAGTTCCCGGGGGTGGTGATGCAATCAGACCAGGAGCTGATCATCATGTGCAAGCCTCCAGAACCCACCATCATAGAAAACAAGGCAGCGGGGTTTGCGGGTAGCTTGTGAGTACGTTACACTAACAAACGGTGCAAGTGATCTGTACTAGTCTCATAACAAACAGTCAAGACAATTATTCATTTTTTATACATAAATAGACATTATTGCATGACATTTTAAAAATTAATCTTATAGACCTTTTTTGACATTAACGATGACAACAAAACATGAAGTACACGGCACACAGATATAATGCCAAATAAAAAAATCAAATAACATATTTATTTAATTAAAATTTAAAAGATCATTCCCGCCAATAATTAATATAACAAAAAAGTTATATTAAATTATACTTTATTAAAAGCACTATATATTTCAGTCCGCACGGCGCTCGCGTATCCGGTGTCGTCGAAGAAACTCCGGGCCGTCTTGAGTATGAAGTAGCGCTGTATAAGGAGGCGCCCCCTGTGTCGCGACACTCAAACCACTCATTGGACATGCCTGTTGACCAGGTAAATACTGTACGTCAATACTTATCACAATAAACTTACCAACACGTTCAGAAATACACTTAATAATAGCTAATTATATTTGCATTTAATATTTATATTCTCATATATTTTTTTAAACTAGGCTGTACCAATCGGAACTAAATTACAATTAAGAGCTCGCATCAATCCGGACTCAGCGTGGCGACATATAAAACTATTAGAAGTGGCTGTGTCTCCCGATCCTGATAGACCTCACGCTAATGGCGCCGTGTTACTCGTGAAAGACGGGTTAGTATACATAAAAATTATTAGACTAATACCTACGAATTATAAGAAGAATATCCATCCTAATTAAATTTTCTTTAAGCCAACACAAAATTCAACAAATATACACAAAGCAGTCAACATATATTACTCGCGGAAGTTATATAAATCACATTTAAACAGCAGACCGCGAGCACAAACAGAATCTAGTCCGCAGTAAATAAATCCACAGCGATTCGTTCCACCCTAGATAACACTGACAAATTTAGAAAACAATTAATTATACACTGTAAATTTATTTTCAATTGAATTAAGTTAGAGAATTATTAGTTATATTATCCGTTATAACGTTACTCAGATGCCGGAACAGAGATTTCGCATCTATCATACCGCACCAGCCGGCGAGGTATAGAGAGAGGCATAACGAAGTTTTTTTGGACTTCGAAGCGTTCCTCTTGGCTTCGATGAAGGAACGTTCCACTTTATGGATCCACTCACAGATCAAGGCGTGCATGGACGCCGCTGACTGCCAGCCGGACTACTGCCTCGACTTATATGAACCATCAGGTAAAATAACAGTTTTTATGTTTAAACATCATACCAAATATAAAATAGCACATGGTTATTCAGCCACAAATAAATTAAAAAAAAATACTTATTCATTTTTCTTTTTAAATATGCTCTATATAAAATAAGCATATAAGTTTTCTTATGTTACATAACCTCAATATTAAAATTAAGTTACGTGAAATCAATAAGAATGTAGGTATATTATAAATTTTTAGAAAACAGACGTTATGTTTGATATCTATCTTCAATCGATTGTTTATAAAATATAAAAAAAAATATTACATACGAATATATATATTTAATTTTAAGTAAACATGTACTATGTTTGATATAAATCTTCAATCGATTGTTTACAAAACAAAAAAAAAGGAATACAATTTGACATTCTAGAATTCTAAATTTGAATATTTCATATCAAGGTCACGGTCGTCGTAGGAGATCGCTGGCTGAAAACGAAACGAAGACGATCTCAGACAGTCAATACACGCGCTTCAAGGAGAACCTGGAGTACTCGGTTGTGATGCCGGGGGAGTTATTCCACAAGAAGTCTTTAGAGGCGACCTGTGCAACCTCCATGATGGTCGCGGTCGCTCTCGGAGCACTGCTCTTCATGTCCGCCTTATTGGTATGAGATGACATAAGCGTACTTTTGGCGCCAATATTAACAATTACGCGGTTCGATTTGTAATTGTCTTTGGTAGCTTTCATTCAAGTACAATAAAGATTTTGATTTTCTTTTGTAAATTTTAAACAAAAAATAAGAATATTTCTAAATAGTATGAATAAAATACAGCTGCAAACTGTATAAATAGTAAAACGGTATTTTAATTAAATTTTTAACTAACCAGCCGCAATTGCTTCACTCGATTTTTATTACAAAGTTTAAAACTATATACCTATTTAGAAAAATCTCAAAAAAAATATTTGTAAATACTTAATAAGTATCTACTAAACGCATATTTGGCATTGACTATTATTACCAAGTTTTCTAGTTAACTATCGATCATTAAATATTAAAAGGTTCATCAGGTACTAAACGATTATTTTAACAGTGATGAATATTTCAATATAGGTTAAGGTCCCAATCGTGTTTTATATCCTTACTGTAAATTTTGATTAAGATTCATAGAACTTTACATTATTCTCAACAGTCGAAAGTCTTTAATGACGCTATCACTACTCAATTAAATATAACCAGCTTAGCGGTAAAATAAAATGTTGCTTACTCATCTGACATTTGTGCGTCTTAAAAATTACATGACGTTTCCGTGTTAATACAATCGTTTGATTATTCTCAGATGTGCTATCTCGCTACTAAGTTGAATTCAACGATGCTCAAAAATAGCAGTCTCCAAACGCCAAGTGGGAAAGGTTTTGAACAAATATTAAGAGAACTGGCGCATCACTCACTGCCTGACACTGGATACACGGGTCGTCCCACCGTACAATAAATTATAAGGAATTGTTATTTGTATAATATGTAATAATAATATTATACTGAGAGTTGAGATGCGTTCAGAAATCCTGGAAAATAATTTCAAATGCAGGTAAAAAATTAAATTACAGAAAAAATATGTGACATTAAAAATACGTAGTAGATATTTTTAAAAATATTATAATTCCATTGTAATCAAACTTTAAATTCTTTACTGTAAGTGCTAATAGTGTTTTAAAAATACATGAAATTTGTATTTTTTTTTTAATAAATTGATATTTTATAGTTGTACAATAATAAGATATCATTCAATAGAGACAACATTCTTTTTATTATATTTTATTGTACACTTAAAATATGACTAATGTTAAGTTTAATTTATTGTGTGCAACTAGCAATTTTAAGGTAAAATAGACATAAGTTGAAAAATTGTTAATAATTAAAACAAACTTACATTTATTTTAATATCTATAGATTTTCTGAGATTACCTCGAATACAATATAATTTCATAGAAATTATATGTTTAAGTTAAATAATTTTTTTTAGATTACTATAAAGTTAAAAGATCTTATGACTGAGAAATAAGTGGTTATAGTTTAACAAAAAAGCTTTTTCAGTCATGACGTTCACGCAAAATTATTTATTTTTCAATTTAATTTTAAACATGTTGTTGTTTATAAAATTACAATTAATTCAATAAATTATTTCTTATTGTATAAAATAGTTGAAATTGTAATATGTGTCTGCAATAAATATTTATCACAAAATAGATTTTTTTTAACATTCTTTTATAAGCTTGGGTTGTATGTAACTGGCTATGTAACGGAATCTTTGAGCACGATTTTTACCTCTTTCCAGAAGTCTAATTAATTTGAAGCTGCATACGTATCAACGACCGTTGACGATACAATAATTTGATAACAGTTTTTAAATTTCCTTATTAGGACCGCCAGGATTAATCAATTCTTTTATAGATCCTCTGTAGCGGAGTGAGAGAGATAGAGATAGTTCGCGGTCTGCGTATGTCTGCAGTTTGGGCTAACTTTTTTAAAAATAATTGCACCGTTAACTTAAAATAAGTAATAGTTTAAAAATATTAACAAACCACGCTTTTGTAGCTAACCGAACTAAAACATTGAAAATAATTTTCAATTACAAAGAAATTGTGCGATGCAATTGACTATATTTTTAATGCAATTATAATAATGCATGAAATAATAGTAAAAGAAACTAGAAATTGATCTTAGTTTAATACTATGCAAAAAGGATAATAAATAAGCCCCTTAATCATGCTTAAAGTATTTTTTAAATCTTTTTTCAATTTAACAACCCATTGAAAGACTTACGAATCTATAGGTACTATATTTATGAATTGACTATGACGTCATTTAAATTATTTTTTACTATTTTCGGGCTTCATTTATACTGTAATTGTTGAATATTTTGGCAGTCACTGTATTTACTTATTTCATTTGTGATACTAAATTTGTTAATTATAACACCGTCAATATAAAACGAGACTTTTCCAAGTTGTCAATGTCAAGTGTTACTGTATTGTCAAACTTGTTATTAGATTAGATGGTTACCGGCGTAATTTTTGTTTATTATTGAAATTTGAAAATACTTCTCGACGTGGAGTTAAGAGTTATTGCTTTTCTCTCCGCTATGAGCAAACGAACTATTAAAAATGCAGATGAGTCACAGATAAACATGAAGAAGACGAAAGGACATTGGTCGATGGGTTTATTAGAAACGATGAAGGATCCAAAATCTATATATAAAGAAACAGAAAATATCGTTGTCATACGTGATAAATATCCAAAGGCTAAAATTCATTATCTGGTTTTGCCCCGGGAGGAAATTAGTAGTATATTTAAATTGAACAAGTCCCACATAACGCTCTTAAAAGAATTTGGTTCTATATTTAACACTATTAAAGACGACCACAAAGATTTCACTTTGCGAGCCGGTTTCCATGCAGTTCCTAGTATGCAAAGGCTTCATATGCATATTATCAGTACAGACATGATTTCTGAATGCTTGAAAACTAAAGTACACTGGAATAGTTTTACCACCAGCTTTTTTATTCCATATGATGGTATTAATAATGCATAAAGAGTAAAAACTTTATGATAAATAATGGTCCTTATATCAGTTGTTTATTTTTTCAGATTTATTAAAGAAACTTGAAGAAGATGGTGTTATATACAAAATATGTAGTGAAACACATAAATCTCTGATGTCTCAACCTTTAAAATGCAATCAGTGCGAGTTAACCCCAAAAAACATGCCACAGTTGAAACAACATTTATTAAGTCATGTAAATAAAATCCATTTATAAAAGAAAAAATATCATTCTGTTTAATGTAATATATGCTAAGATAAAAAATTGTGCTATCTGATTTATATATTTGATTTTTTATTACAAATCTATGATTATAATGATGACATAAAAAAAACATTGCACTTAATTAATTGCCAAAATAAACAAGATGTAAATAATTTGTTCCATTAGGTAATAAAATAATGATCATATTATTATTCTCAGTTTCAGAATATCTATGTATTTCATGCCATTATAATAAATTTAATTTTTCATTGATAAAAATATAACAATCCTTTAGAATTACTTATATTTAAAAATTCATTTTATTACATTAAAATTGCCACCATGGCAAAATTTATATAGTCATGTGATAAGTCATATTTCTTTATATAAATTCAATTCAACTATTTTATGATGCATAACATCTACTAATTGTATGCTATTTATTATAAGTCATCTTTACAGAATATTTTGCTTGATCTTGGACTCTGTGAATTCATAAATGAACTGCTTGAATCACTCTCGGGCTCTTCTTCAGGAGTATATATAGCCAGATTACGTCTTTTGAAAACCTTTTTTGTAGCACTTGGAGGTGTTATACAATCTGATGTATTACTGATAGATAAAAAACTGTTTTCCGGCGTACAAGCTGACATTTCTCTTGATGTGTCCTCGTTATTCCCACTGGGTGTTATTGGAGCCGGAAGAGAAAGCTTCGAACATTTGAATGGAGTCTGTTCAATAATGTCGTCTTTCTCTTCACTCTCATTATTTTCAATTTGTACTCGCCTTATAGTTCTACCTGAACGAGCCATAATCACCTGGATGGGATCATCAATACCTAACTTTTCACATAAAAAAGCAGTTTGGGGGTTTAACACAGGTTCTGTGGGTGGACATTTTGGTGCACCAGGCCTATAAACCGGTGCAGTTTTCACAAATGAGTCATTGGTTATTACTAACGTATCTAACAGACTTAATATTGCATTTTTCTCTTCTTCACTTGGTGTGAAATCATACCTGTAAAAAAATTATAAACAAATATGATTAATAGAGAAAAGTATACTTAAAAAGGAACTATTAAGAATCAATTTTTATTAAGAGAATTTATCAATCTTACCGTTCATCACCTCCGGGGCCAGGTAGATGACAATCTACATTCTTAACAGATAAAAGATGATTGGTATTTCTCAAAATTGCCAACCATTCAGGATCATACTTTAAAGTCTTGTCACCATCATACTCTGGTGCCAGATCTAATATTTGCAAATGCCTTCTTCGTGGCAAACATTTATCTAGAGCAAGAAATTTTGTTTCTTGATTATCGTCATGATTAATAACAGCAGCAAATTGGCAATGCAAATGTGCAGCAAACCAGTACTGAGGCTTCAATGTGTGTAACAACTTCTCTGCTGGGGGACTGCCTAATTGGTTTGACTCAACATCATCTCTGGAAAACAAAAAACATATTAATTGTTTTATATAATTAATGTTAAAAAAATATGAGATGTCAAGTGTAATGTAGGTACACTTCATTATATTAGGTTCCGTCATTCGGCGTTGCTACTTAGCACAATATATACTTTACAAATTTGATAAAGTTTTGTATGATACTACATTAATTAAATTTAAAATCATTGTATTATAGTGGTAAAACCATTCATACTAAAATACATACCTTAAGAATGGTTTCCGTCTAAGTAAATTCTCTTTATCCCCATAACTAGTGATACCTCTCGGCCAATCGTGTGACAACATGATGTGAATGTTTTCTTTCATTTGACTTAACCGAAACACATCCAGAGATCTTATATGGTATACTGATCTCAGTGAACCGGGAGTGTACGGAGGACATTCCCATAGACCTTGTAAATAATCATGGCCCTTGAATATTCCTGATAATCCTAAAATAAATACATTATAAATTTACAATGAGATTAAAGTATACATCATGAAAATTTTAGTTTCATCACACACATTTTAATAGTGTTTTCTTTATAATTTTAATTCATAAAATACCTCCTATTCGTAAATTTCCAAACTGTACAACACCGGCTCTGCCCAAGTAATATATGTTTGGTGCAACCCAACCACCATACGGCAGCTCTTGTAAATAGTTTGAAGCTTCATGATTGCCTCCAATGAATATAGTTAATATTGGGGCGATTTTTTCCCCGCTGTAATATCTGACGGGCAATCTCATTAGTAAAAGTATATATGTACTTTAAAAAAAAACATTATCTGCATACAGTACTTACTTATAAAACGTACATATATTTTGATATTTCTCCGGCACAGCCATAGCCCTAAGGTCATCATTATTGCGGACTGATTGAAAATCTCCACAACATATTAATAAGTCCACGTTTATTCCTTCTCTTCTTTGTAAAGTTTCTACACACTCGTATATCTTATCCAATTCACCATGTGCACATCCCTCTATGGCAATTTTCATTTTATTTATATGACTAGATAATAAACTAGATGTTACCAGAAATTATTATACTTAAAAAGTATTTAAAAGTAGTAAAGTTAACTTGTTTAATAATAGAATCTAGATTAAAAGGACGCCAGCGGCCAGACGCCAGTCGTAAAACATGACACTGACAATGTTAGTTGACAGCACATTTGATCTTTGACAGTTATTACAATAACTTGGCAACAGATGATAAAAAAATATTTAAGTAAAAGACTAATGTGATTAAAAAAATCCACAATAACTATAATATCTATGTTATACATAAAAAAAAAATTAAGTTCTTAAAATTGCCACGAACTTTTAATTTCTAAATTTTTTTCCCTAAGAAAGATTCACGTGGAGTTACTTCTTATGACAGGCAAATACCTACAATATTAATTAATGACTAACTTCAATATTTGTTATACTTAAAACTAACATTACATGAAACTAACATGCTATAAAAAAATATTCAAGTAAAACGCCAAATACTTAAACTTACACTAACTAATAAAAGAAAAACGTGTTAAAAATAGAAAGAAGCTTTGGAAGTGTATAATATAATATTTTATCATTTGATTAAGAATATTAAACGTAATGCACAGTTTTTAATTCTTTAAGATCTATCTAACAAATACACAGGTACAAAGGTAGAAGACTTCTATATACATATATCTATACACTGAATGCCAAATAATTAGCGATGACCCGACCGAATAATATTAGAGTAATTGGCTAAAACTTTAACAGTGTGATTATTTCACAATCCCTCGTGATCCATAATCCATGTACAGTTGTACATATCACTGACTTGAAGTACCAGTATGTAATACCAATAGGAGAATGCACATAAAAAATTATATCCCTTCCTGTCTAGTTAATATCAGGTTAAATATTCAAGTACACTGAAAATATCCCGATAAGCTACTACGTTATATAAAATGCCTAGTAAGGTGTTAATAAAAGTTTTATTTTTAAAGCTTATATAGAATTCTTTAAGGTTATTGTGCTTACTATACCTACTTTTTTTCCCGTAAGTTTTACTTTTCATTTATTTGAGTTATTCTCAACAATCCTTTCATCCGCTATCTAGGGGAGGTATTTCACCATATTGCATATAATGTAGAATGACGTCACATAGAGGTCGCAGGAATATTTATCAAAACTCTTTTAGTTTTGATACCTAAATTCAGTTCAGTTTTGTTAAATGTACAAAATTTTAGTCCAGTTGAAGATATTAAATTCAGAATTAAATTTCAATTTTTCACCTTCACTTTGCAGAATAAATAAAAGTAACTTTCAAAATTATTTAACGAATGAATATTTGTTTTTCATTGTAACTATTAAGTAGGTATGCCACAAAAATAAAATATTTTTAATATCTTAGGTAGACGTTGTTAAGCCGAATAGTACCTATTTACTTATTATTTGTAGTACCAGTCATTTACTTACCTAATGTGACAAAAATAGACGAACACACGGTATATCTACCGAATTGTTACCGAATATTCGTTGCAAAATATATATTTTTTAAAACTATATCTTACTTTCTTGAATGTATACCCAAAATATAAGTAAATTTTTAATAAATGGAAATCATTTATTTGGTAAGATACCATTAGGTACTTAAAAAATGGTTTGGTTTCAATATCCAGAGAAAGTACCTACCTAATAAAATGTGTATTTAGCGCGATCTTAGACAATATCAAACATGTAGTAGATTTTGAGTAAGACAACCAAAAAATTATCCTATATCCAATCCTGATTAATAAGTTACGTAAAGAATATAGTGTTGTAAATTGGTCATGTGTTTTGTTTTTCCATTTCATTAATTTAAAGAGACTAAATAACCCACAATAAAAAATGTAGTTAAAATAACAAATCGCTAAGATCTCGTAAAACCAAAAAGCTACAGAAAAAATAACACCATGCTAGCATTATTAACCTAATGATTTAGAGTAAGTCCCGCAGTAACTTAACACCGAAACAAAAGATTCTAGAAAACGAAACATTCCAGTTTATTGTTCATAAATTAATAATATTGTTATAAAAACTAAAACAGTAGACACAGCGTCGTTTTAAAACAAATGAGTTATAAATTATTGTTTCAGCATTCGTATCCACCTTGACAGATCAATTAGCGGATTCTTGCGTGAATTGGAAAGAAAATTAGATCGCGATAATTGACCAACTGGTACGTTTTAAATCAGTTAATTTGTGAGTTTCTATCATTTGTTACCAATAAGTTCACATTTCACAGCCACCGTACATCCAAAAAGGTTTCATTTGTTTCAAATTACTAAGGAGTTTTTATTGTTATTGGTGTTTTCAGTGACTTTATATAATAGTATTATATTTTATTGACATGTCGTAGTTTATTGAACGTGAGTTCATATCTCGTGGAGAGCACGGACCAAAGATATATGCGCGGGCGCAGTGACGTCAGAGCGGTCGCGCCAATGGCACAGGAGGCGGTTCTACCTCCCCATTACCGCCCACTTGGATGCTATTTTTTAATATTATATCATTTAAATAATACAGTTAGTAATATTATTATTTATTTATATCTCATTAAAACAATAAATAAAAAAATAAAAATAAAGTAGATATTAAGTATATAATATTATATATAAAAAAATTAAACTTTCGAAAGTTACATACTAATATCAAACTAAAATATTAAAAGTTCCAATATGTTATAATAATATACATAATAAATACAATAATATAGATAAAACGTTTGAGGTAAACAAATGCCGAGTTAAATAAAATACCTAGCCGTCGAGCACAAGGAAAGCTTTATAGTCGGAGCGCGCGAGAGGAGCGCACGCGCACCGCGTTATAAGAAATAATAGTTAGTATAGAAACAGAGTGAAATGAGCTGGGATCAGGACAGGCCCGACAAGCTGGAGATCAATGAAGCTGTCGGCAAGCTGCTGCAGTCCTTCAACTATGACACCATCGTGCCGCAACCCAGCAAGTAGGTTACATTACATTAATACTTATTTATGTATCCTTGGAAATATTAATACTGGCTGTATGTATGTTTGAACAACATTTTTTTTTAATTTTATTAAGTGAAAAACGAAAAGTAACGAATGCATTTTAAAAATATGAGTAATGAAAATATGTTTTAGATACTTTTTTTTTTTAAATAAAGCAATTTGAGGAACTGAAAAAAAAACAAAAATAAAAAAATATATATTTTTTAATAATCTGTAAGTTACGTTTTGATAAAAAAAGGCATTTGATAAAAGTTTGAAAGAAATATAATTGAAAAGCATTCTCGTGAACATTATCGTGAAGCTTACATGGTTATTCGTTTCTGTTTTAAGTCAGAACACTTTAGTTGAAGTGCGCAACACCCATTGGAGATAGCTGAAGTACCGTGCTGAAGTTTGCTTTTCTTATTATTATAATAACTTTAATATATAATAAAAAATAATATTGGGTGGTTTTATGAAGCTGGAAATCAAATATGTGCATAAATTATTTAAAATGTGTATCAATTATTTAAAAATAAGAAACAATTAATTCTCGTCACGAATATAAAAAAAATATTATATTACTTAATAGCACGATATTTTAAGAGTTTGAGATTAAAGTCAAAATTGTTTGTGTTTCTTTTTTAAAATATATTGTTTTTTTTTATGTTTTGAATATAAAGCCATCAAATTACGAATTTTGTTCACTAATTTAAAAAAAAAACAATTTCTTTGTTAAATTTTAATCTAAAATATTAGACTAAGCTGGATCTTCACTTAATTCTTAGCTCTTTTTAAATATAGAGTCATACGCGCTTACAACTCTTAATTAAGTTTAATAAAAACCTTATATCAGTTTTAATTTGTAGTTTCAACTTCTAAAAGCAAAAAGACGATGTTACTCAAATAACGTTCCAATTACAATATACAAAATATATACTTAATCAAGAAAAAAACAATGAAAAATCTTATTATAAGTAGTCTGGGTAATTGAAATAGCTTATAATATATTTTTTCATCTCTCCAGTTTTCCTGTGTCGATTAAGGTAAATTTATCTTACTGAATAAAATCGCTTTCATCACTATAACTTTAATCATATTCCTCGTTTAAAAGGAATCGATCTCATTAATATTTAGGCCATATATACGATTTAATAATCATTTTTTATTTGTTCATGCAACGCTTATATACAAATACATTTAAAAATGTTATAGTGAAAAGTTTCCTTATCATCGTATATTTATAACTTATTTAATTAATGTTTCATAGTTCAAACAGATCTCTAAGTGGTATAAAAACTAAGTTTTATTAACTAAAAAACCTATCTATATTTTAATTATCATTTAATGATCATAATGCCTCGCGTGTGCCAGTTTATTGAGTAATCTTAGGCCAAAAAAGTTCATAGTTTTGATGAAGAGCTAATACTCTGACACTGCTGAAACAATGATAGCCATTTTAGTGGGTGGTTAAAAACCCTCTGAATATTCTTAAATATCAAAAATGACATCTTTGATGTAATTATCTGTTACCATCGATGTCAAAGTCATTGTTCCAAGTTAAACAAAAGCTTATAGCTTAATATCTGAAGCTCAATAAATATCAGAAGGTTTCAAAGTAATAATTTACATAAAATCTAAAATAAGTTTATAATGCTTAGCAATCAATATATTAAGGTTTAACACATTAATAGTTTTCTTTTATAAATGTGTTGGTGTATTTTAATATTGTCGGTCAGCCTTAGACTATTTTGAATACTAAATTAATTTAATATGATTATCATGATTTAGGAATAAATATTTTATATCACAGAATTCTTTGAATATTTCACCAATTTTGTTTTTTTTTTCTTTAAATGTAATTATAGAGGTATATTTAAAGATATTAGTTTTGCTTTAAGGAACTGATTATTTTTATAATTTCGTCTATGACAATATCAATTCTTTTTTAAATTATCTTTTTAATTTATTATATATACACTAATAAAGAAATAAATTATGCCTTATTTTGAACTGCAAAATAACTAAAACTTGATTACTTATTATTATTAGGTACTTATAATAAGAAATATGTTATGAAGATAAAGAAATTGTGCATTTTATTAGAAAAATGTAAAATGGGTTTTTTTAAAGAATGGAATTATGTTCATGAAGAATCACTTTCCCTAAATAAAATATTTGAATAGCTCAAACTTTCTTAACACATTATCTTAATTACAAAAACCTCTTTGGAAAGCTTTGTGTGTGAATTAGAAAATAACTAAGAAAAGTACATATATCAAGGATTCAAAAAATCATTTCAATTTAAATCCACTCCATAAAAAAATGCATATTTTATAAAAACTGCCTTCAAAACTTTGTGTAATCCTTAAAAATATTTAAACCATTCCATCCATATTATTTCATACGAGATAAATATTCCGTTAAAATTAATAAATCGTCATTAGATGATAAACGAATTCTAGAGTATACTTGAGATTAGTAATACGCCTTGAAGTATCGGAAAATTATAGCCTAATTACTTGGACATATCTCTTAATTACAGTTTAAGATAGCGGACTCGACCCGGGGTCGGCTACATGACACCGGCACTCGATATACAGCCTTATTGAATCGCTTTTATCTCTTATCAGCTCCTTGTTTATTAATTTCCTATCGACTGTCGGTTTTTTACTTAAGATATTCACTTTTTAAATCTCACCGCATTTGTAAATTTCGATATAAATTAGTCATTGTCTTCAATATCTTATAGTTGGTTACTAAATATTTTTCTGTATATATTCTAGTTGGGGTGCGTTCGTGTGACGATTTTTATCTTCTTCCTGTTCTACCGATTTATTTCCGCATGAAGCGATAATGCGCCTGTCCAAACATTCTTTTTATAGGGCTCTTATCTACCTTCACAAGGGAGTCCCCCACCAATTATTAAACATCAAAATTCAGTAGATAATTTTTATAAACAATATTACTCTGATCATTGATATATATTATTGTATTTTCTGATACTCTTATTAGTGATTTGTAAGGTAGAATCTTTGTAATTGTATTAATATAGAAAGCTAAAGGTATATTAATATATCTCGCCCACCTCACCGGTCCATGTAAACACGTATAGTTTACGCATCTATTCTAACCTGGCCTGTAAGTAGGGGTGCAAACACGTTCAGAGGCACCGCTAGCTTACCCTGTGTACACAAACACACACCTTCATGACATTTGAACTTGCACTTAACTTTATGCTCCACAGGAATTTGATCATTATAACACAATCAATATACAGTTGTACTTTATTAGTTTGTTTATTAAATGTATATTTGTAAAGCCAGGATACAATTGTAGGTATCTATTTATTATACTTACATATTTTCTGATTCATTTGTCTTTGTACATAGTTTTAGAAATGATTTATTTATCTGAAGACATAAGAAATATCTGCTTTAAGACTTTAAACGATGTTTAATTCAGAACAAAATTATAATATTGTTATAAATATTTATATAAATGTAATTTCCGTACGTTTTTAAAGTATTGACAGTATGTAATCTGGTAGTGTTGTGTTGTTAGCGTGTCCGCGGTAATGCGCGTGTTTAACACTACATATGTAGGTACTACTCTTCATTACCATGTATGGAATACTACCATTCGCTAAACGTTATTCGCGATCAGTTACCACATCACATACTTTGTGATATCTCACGGTTTTCACTTCTAAATCTCTAGTCATTTTTAAGTTATTTTAATTGAATGTCAAACCAAAAAGTATACCATAACATTTACTTGTAAAATTTCGTTATTATACAGGGTGACTGGTGAATTACTATCGATACTTGAAGACGTGATATTTGACGATCATATATGACAAAATAAAAATTAATATAACATAAATATTAATAAACTTCTAAGTAAAGTTAACCAAAAGTTATGTAATTAATTATGCATCGCGTGAACACCCTACAGATTAAGTATACACACACACACACACACACACACACACACACACACACACACACACGTGTGGCGGCGTGGTGTTGTATCAGCACGCCGCCGCACGCGTCCACACTTGGAACACTTGGAACGTGTCCACACTTTATTTATTTATACGGAAATTTGGTCAAAAATTAAGTACCTATTTTTTTTACGTAATTCGAATGAGAATCATGTACCGAGTATTCTCCTTAAATATTGATACATAGTAATTCACCAGTCACCCTGTATAAACAAAAAAGTTCACGTTTTTTGAGGGAAATAAAACTGAACTCTCCATGTCACCTAAAAATAAGGCATGAACTTACAAACAAGAAAACTAATATTAGATATTTATATACAAAAAATAAAACTGAATTAAATTATAATTCTTATCTATAAAGATGACATAGTTTTATCAATTATCAACAGTTTAAAGAAAACGACGGGGTCCATCGTCGATTAATAGTCCAAGTGGACCGACGATATCAGTGTTTGTGGACACAGATGTTTTCCCATACATCATAGGGGTGCAACAAGTACAACTAAATGAAGTACTACAAATCGAGAAGCATTAGTAGATTACTACTACGAATTGAGGAGCTTTAAGCATTCCTCTATTAAGTTAATTGCTGCTTATAACATATTTCAAGAGAGAAAGATTTTCAATCAAGAGAGAGACTAGAAAACAGAGATACGTTCCATAAAACATGATCATATTGTTATACAAAGGTCCAAAACTATAAAACAATATTAATTTCTTTATTATTATTTTATTCCACTATAATATCCGGGATGGAGTCGCCAATCATATTGCATTCGCAGAAACGACATGGTTTATCAACGCAAATAGGACGCATGTGTTAACAAACGTGGCTTCTTTTCTACCTATTACATACATATAAAACAAGATTATATAAATATATTTGTAAATAAAGATTAAGACATACTTTCATGTACCTAACTTGTCGTTCTTATCATCATTATAATTTTCCACCCTTCAACCACTTCAAATCCCCTTTAAAGTTCAACAAATGAACGTTATAAAATGTACAGATATATATTTTCCCAGGGGTACATTCCAGGTGTTTCACCTAAACATTAAATGTACTAATCCTTTATGATAAAGTAGTCAAGTGGTTGCCATGATGACTGTCCGCCAGCCACTGTCGTGTTTTACAGCGTCATTAATTGTTTTATGGAAGCTGTTAAATTGACGGAGATAAGCTACAGCTTCTGGGGGATGTTTAGATATTGACAATGGACTGATGAAAGATATTTACAGTCTATAACCGCTATATAAACTGTATTGAAGGATTTCACTTAAATAAATTTAGGATTAATTGCTTTTAAAAAAATCCTTACGAAATTATTAAAATTTTTGTTGGAGATTTTACATTAATGTTTTCATTGGATAGCATAATCTTTTATATAATATTGATTTTATGCAATTAAAATATTATATTATAAAGAAAAAAAATAACGTCTAAGAGGTTTTTACGTATGAAAAGTGAGCATAACAATGCCATAAAATTAAAGTATGTAAATAGTTTACTACTTATAATTTTTAAAACCAATAATATGTTGAACTAAACAAGTATAGAAGACTCGTAATAGTATTCGCGATATTAGGGGCTGCGCGGGCGCATCGTTGAAGGCAGAAATAGCGTGGGCGGGCTTGTCACGGACGACAGCTATCTACATTCTGCAATGTTTATGACTTCCTCAGCCAATGGCCTCTGGCCAAACCATTACATCGATGTACCTTTACAAATTACTGAAAATTACACAACTAATAGTTATATGAGTCACAATTAATATAAAGTAACATGTTCCTGTAATAGTAATTACAATATGACAAAATTTAATTCTAGTAGCTAAATAATTGTAAAGAGAATAACTATTATTTTGCAAAGAATTAGTATTATTAGAAATTAAAAAATTATGTAACATAGGTGCCTAAAACTATTTCAAATGAACGTCGACTCGGCGACGTGTGTTTAAAAGTTAAAATAAAACAAAACAATAAAACTTTGGTACTTTGAATGTTCGGTGACTATCAACATAGCCTCTGTTTAAACTATTATTCATTACAGTTTCTGAGGTACTTCATAGATTGCTTTTAAAACATCGACTCAAATTGTAACGAGCCAGCGTCCAGTGTCGTATGGGTGTGCTTGCCACGTGTTCAATATTTTGGTAACTGCAGCCTTGAAATTCGATATGATTTACGGTAGGCTTTTTTTTATTGATAATAAATTATTGTTAGTACGTTGACAGCTTAAATAACGCGAACGTAATCTTATTGAGTTGCGCTAATGTCAGGCATAGCTTGGTAAATGGCACCAGTCTCTTTGGAGAGAAGGATGTGTGAATTTGCTAGTCCTTCATCCAACCAATGACAGATTTTTTTAATGAATATTATAATAAATAGATTATAACAATATTATACATTGATTGTGACTATAATAATACGTTATTTGTCAGACATAGGGTAGGTACTTGGGAAGCGGCTAGACGTAAATATTTGTCGATTTGCAAACCCACGTCAATTATTTAATATGAATATTCATAAAAATATTGATGTATGAGTATTGCTTAATATTAAATAAGTTCTATAATGAATGTGTTTTAGACTGTAGTAATAAACACGTGCCCGATATTCTTTCCGTCGCACGTTTTAAGCTAAACACATTGATACTCTCCGTTGTAAACACAGATGTATGTCGTAGATGACTGAAATCTGGCGTAGTAAATCATTATGTGTACATAAAACTTTTTGTCAAGGCCCAAAGACGGCACGTTTGGTAATGAAAATGAAATTAAACTTTAATCTTTAAACCTTTTAAATTACTTTTATTTAACGACAACCGACTTACGAGTTAACATTGGTTTGTTCAATGCTTTAGAGTGAACAATTAATGAAAAGGGATCAATTCTTTTCAACTTGCAGTACTTTCGAATAATATTTTACGATTTCGAAATCGGGTAACTTATATTTCGAGTGATGGTAGGACACCTCCTTCTGTTCTGTGAAATAAAAATGTTAACAAAACATTATAACATTTATATATACTACTTGGTAGAATTAACTGGTGAACATTTTTTAAGTTTATTTATCTGTTTAAAATCCTACTTTTAAAATAATTCAGATCATTGCCATATGCAAAAAAAAGGCACATTATTAGGATAAATTTTTAAATAAATTATATTGTATCTCTTATTCTTTGTCTAATCGTAGCATGTAATTTATATATTCACATGTAAGCACATAGCTGTATGACACAAGTATCTGTGATTGTCAGATGATGTTACTAACCAGATGTCGGCGCGTGGTGGGTCTCTATAAAAACTAATCAAATGCTTCTTAATATTGTCTCTTGTACACTGGCCGTGATTTAAACACGCCACACAATAGAAAACTTCACGGCACTTATGTATAATTGTAAAACTTACGTAGCTATGCCGTCAGGTAATAAAGTTAAATTGAATTTTATTAAGCAACTCGAACTCCTTACCAATAAACAAGGAAACCGATCTCAGTTCGCCGAACCACTAGGTAATTATTTCGTTTCATATCGCTTCCCGAGAGCGATCCGTTAGAAATCGATCGACTTTTAGTGGCGTGTCAGTATTTGGAGGGAAAAAAAAGAACATAATTTATTGTCAGCTCCGAGATCGCGAGGAAACCCGAACGCTGTGGAAAAATAAAAAACGTAATAAAACGAGAGATGTTTACGAGCGTAAAATGACGTTGACTGGCACTTGGGAGTTGGACCGTTTAGAGATTTACATTCGATCCAAGACACCGAACTACTTCTGAGAGGTAAACAGAGACTACATGAAGGGTTTTCGGTTTTAGTAATTTATTTTTTCCGTTGCTAGTAATTATCGTTCATGCGCCGAAAGCCGAAACCGTCGAGTGTTATCGGCAGTCGAGTGTGCGTTTCATATTGGATATGTCAACATTAGCTTTGCTTTGTGTTAAACGCTGATGCATGTACGTCTAACTTCTAAGCAACAACTTAATGAACAAATTTTAAACTTTTGATACGTACTCTTAAAGAATTTCCGCTCTATCTTTATTGAACAGACTATATAGAGTATTTATAAAGATTACAAACAAAATTATATAAAATTATCCATTAAGTAAATATGTTTTCTATAGGTTTATACTATTCTATTTGAAGTCTATTTGCGAACAAGAAGAATAAAAATGGCATCAGAATTATTTCATAAACTTAAAAACATTAAATTCAAATAGAATTGAATAAAACAATTAATCTATCAATTATAATACTTCTTTTTCAACCTGGCAATTTCCCAGCTTTAGCCAGGGTCTGCCTTGCACGTTGTTAATATTTTTTTACGACCGCCCGCCTGCCTGACATCAACCCTCTTTGGGAATGCATTAATCAGTGATGTCTAAATACTCTTAGAAAGTACATATGACTTGGAAGAATCACATTGGTACTTGCCCTGGCCAGTATCGAACCCGCGCCCTCGTGCATGAGAGGCGGGCCTTTAATAATTATAATACTATCTATCAATTCAGGGGCGGCGGGTGTATGCGGCGGGCTCATGTGAAGCGGCCCATGAATGCGTTCATGGTGTTCGCACAAGCCATGCGTCGCAGATTGTCTGAACAACGGCCGTCGCTGCACAACGCTGAACTGAGCAAATCCTTGGGATCCATGTGGAAGTGAGTAACATTTATGTATATGTTTATGTAGTCTTCTTATGACATTGGATGGATAGCAGCTGAAAAGCATAATCTTCGACATCTTTTACGGTATCTAATATCTAAGTAAAGTAACTTTGAACTCAAAAATTCGAACAACCTGTATAACCCAATAATCATTTAAGACACATAATTAACTCAATATCACGAAATAATAAATAAAAACTCTTTAATTCACAAAACATTAAATGAGCATAAGCATACATATTAGGTATGCATAAAATTTAAAGTATCCTACATATCACTTTTACAAAGAATATGTCGAGCAATGCTTGGCAGTCTAATATCTATGTATTGATTTAAATCAGACGAAATAAATCTTCATTTGATATTTTGGATATCTACATACATATTTTCTTAAATGATGTAAAAAAAATATAATGTATCGACACAGCTAGAGAATAATTGTGAATTTTTGCGAGTATAAAAGTATCGTTTAATTTTATTTAAAACCAAAATGGCGCTGCGATTTCTACGTCAGTCCATTCCGCGGAGACTTCGTATCTTAATGAGTACATCGACTATGAAATGGCCAATTTAAGTACTGGGGTTGAGAAAGTAGACGGGGAAGGCATTCGAATAACTTTATTACTTTGTAATAAGGACTATTTTTGTATGTCGTTAAACGAACGTGCGGCGCCCAGCCGAGCGGCGTGCATCGATTGTTTACTCATTAAAATACTATCGCCGCTAAGTGACGTGATAACATCTCTAACTGTCTCGGCCTTACGCCGGCTATGTTTGGAAGATTTTTTTGGAATATTAGAATCATTTCCGACCCAAATATTACTTTGGTGTTATATATTTGGCTTCATTAAATTCATTTTAACCTTTTATATAGTATGGACTATATTACAATCAATTTCAATTCTATGTCGGGTAATCTTAAAAAAATCAACATACACCTTGTTCATGGATAATAATAAAATGGTTCATATTAATGGACATTAAAATCAAAAGCAAGACTATTTATTGTTAATAAATATTTGAAAAGCATCCATAATATCCACGGGCCACCCGCGATCTTTTATTGTAGCACAGAATGACATGACTATTCGGAGCAACTCTCAAATCTTCAAAGGCAACAGTCGGTGAGGAGATGCTGATAGCTTTCTTACGATAACTGTCCGCGACTCTAGAACTAAAGGATATATGACAAACGCAAATATTTATCATATATTTTTTCTATAGGAACTCAAATATTGATGGTACCTGATTTTAGGTTGAAGCTATTATAAGTATGAAGCTCTAAATTAAAAAAAAGGCAAGTATACGCTTCATTCGGGATTTATGGACGGTTAAACCAAAGATACATTCTTGTATACCACAAATATTCACACTTCTCGTCAATAATAAAAGTATATAATAATATAATATTTGATTTCATAAAGATGACTAGATTAAATTCAACCACAATTTTACAATCCAGACAGATCTCTGATCACGGTACATTAGCGACGGCGTTGGCGCACACGCATCTGGAAATAGTTCAGATAATATCTCATGCTGAAGTTGCATACTTTAAATTATTAAACAATTATATATCATCCACAAACCTAAATAACATAAAACATTCCACGAAAATATATTACGATATTCTCAGATTTACATTTTCAATATGAAACGCGATGTCGTATAACTATTTCGAATTTCCACAGGAGCTTGAGCGAAATGGAAAAGCTACCGTTTGTTAAGGAAGCTGAAAAACTTCGAACTCAACACAAACGTGAGTACCCTGACTATAAATATCAGCCAAGACGTCGCAAGCCACCGCCTACCACATCCACGAGACTGAAACGAGAACCTACACCAGAAAGATCGCAAATCGATTTCTCCCGCATCGAAGTCGACGGCGCCTTACTAGCTGACGGGCCACCAGATGGCGCTGAGCTCGACCAGTATTTAAAACCAGTGCCAGTACCAGACTACCACGAGATGCAGCCACGCTACACCCACACCTTAACCCATCACCCACCAGCGCTGTATACCCCGGTACCATCACATTTACACCCTCCGTGTGACTGGCAGCACTATCCGCATCCATAAGATAAAATATAAATGAATAGCTATTAAAAATATCCTGCTCATCGGAATTATAGCCGAAATAATCTCATATCAAAATAGGTCACAAATGTCTTGCTATTGATATCTATGTAAATAAATAACAGAGGCCTCTACAAAGCTTACTTCGGCACACGTGCGATTAATCACAGCGCAAACAGGGATACAACTTTACAGAATAACTTTCAACGTTTTAATATGCAATAAGTCTTTCGAATTGTTATAATGTATTGTATAATGAAGGATGATTCGCTTGTTAGAGTTATAAGCCATTTAATAAAATATCAGTTTGGGTTTAGTCTTAGTTTCTCGTATATTTAGCGTAGTATATAGAAGTATTTTTAAGATGTTGTTATAAAACTGTTAAGAAAGCCTCAGGTTCCAAAGCTTAAATTATATTTCTAGATAATAATTAGTATATAAGTAATATTAAAAATAATATTTGTTTTCCTTGTAAGTTATTATTGTGATTAATTATTACGTACTTTGTAAAATTTATTTTAAATAAAAAAAATTTAGACACAACGACTTCTCATTTGTTTGGAAATTAATCCGAATATAATATGTTATATATTTACCTAATAAAATATTTGATTTGTATAGACGACAACGACTTCATTTTATACTGAAAATATACAATTACAAAATTTTTGAGATGAAAGTTTCAGAATGGAATCGAACTGTATTAAGGATAAATTGAAGTAATATTATTGTAACTCTATGACGTTCAGTGGTAATATACATTGTAAAAAAAGCTATAAGTGCCAGATTAAACAAATCCAGTTTTTGTAGCAAATCCTGTTCAAATTGAGATCTGCTATGGATTTCAATACGAAAATTATTAGGATTGTGTATGTCCCCTTTTCGTCTGTTTCGTATTCTAAAGTAGTAAATTGCACAGAGTAAAAAATCCCAGATTATGATTGGTGCGTAGGCAATACTGCAAGTTATTATATAGTTTATACGATACTGCCTGCATAGTGTATTTTATATTTGCTGAGATTTCAAGTCCAACGAAGATAAAAAAAAATTGCTAATTTACAGAATATAATTTATTAGTTGTGAAACAAAATCAAGTCAAATTTCAACAGTTGGAAATTAAAAATTAAAGTAACTTTTTAACAATCAGTTCTGACTTCTGATTCTAATTAAAAAGTCATAGAAATTGAATTTAGGAAACTACCTATGTCATGAGAGCATATAATATGTAATATTCATAGCATTTTAAGAGTGTACTTAATTAATATTAATACAGAGTTATAGAACCACAGATTATAGTAACTAATTATTCATATCAACATACTGCCAACAAAAAGGTTATAGGTAGGTATATCTTCACCTATTTGTTATATTAAAAATCTATTTAAAATACATGACGCAATTTTTCACCAAATATGAATTATAATAAATTAATCTAGTGATATAGAGCTATATATATTTATGTAAGTATATAATATTATCTTATACGAAGCTAAATTCTTGTAACTGCACCGAGTCGACCCCTGGCTGTCTTCCGGCCGCCGGGTCGTTCTCACAGAGCCTCCTTGTTCACGTATCTTATCCACATTTTTGCGACGGCTAATGAGGCCGACATCAGTAAATTATTTAATTATTCACATTAAGAGAACTCATGATATGATTATCGATTATATTATTGTCTGTCGGTATATGGAAATTAATTTTATTATGATTTTCATTTAGTATATGCAAACGACTAGCGACTTTGCAATTGATAAACGAAATTACGTCTCCTACATAATGATTTAAGTCCACGCAATGCCATTAATAAACTAACTTTAAATATTGTATATATTATTTTTATATCGATCTATATTATCATAGTTTTATTACAAATGTTATCGTAATAAAGGATTTCGTCCTTCTCAGAACAAAAACAAAGGGAGATGGTGTTATGAAAACGCAATGGTGCATCAATGATATTCAGATACAGTGCAAATGGTCCGTTGTAAGCGCGTGCGGCAGCTCGGGTTACACAAATGCAAGCCGAATGACATCCTACCCGCTAACCGACAAACTTTTTGCATCTAACATGAGATGTTAATTAAATGGGCGGAGGATACCACGCTCAATTTTATGCTCTTATGTCTGTTTTTTTTCACTTGTCAATCATAATTTTTGAGTCAAGATGAAAATGACGTAAATAACAAACGCCTATTTAATGTCATATTTAAAGATTTTTTTTCTATTTATTTATTTCTTTTATAATATGGCCTTCATCCGTGCAGAAAAGTGCACAGTATATTCTGCCAATGTCGAGTAGATTGGAAGAGACACGATCCGGGATTTACTTTAAAATGAAATAAACTTTAACAGTCCCAGCCAAAGTCACAATAGGGTACTTTGTTAGTAGATCTAAAGCAACACATTTTTTTTTTCTATATATAGGTACTATATGGAAACTTGTCAATGTCATAAGCGAAAAAAGGACAGATTATAATCAGTTTTTTTTTATTACTACACAATGTAGGTTTTAGTATTTCAATGAATCTTTTGTACTAGTTACTTAATTATTTTTATTGATATTCAAAAAATACATCACTAGCTTTCTTAGCTGTGTAAGAAATAAATTTCACATTTTCTAGATGCACAACAACCATGTTCATTTTTGTTAAGAATTAAAAATTTTGAAATATTTAGTGTAATAAATAATACAATTGAAAAATTATGAAATATTTCATGATTATGTCTATAAATAGTAATTAGTACAGATAATAAAAATAGACGTAAAAAAACATTTAAATTCAAAGACAATAGACTTCCGTATGAATCTTAAACTACAAAAACATAAGTCCGTGTGAAGTAAGTCCAGTTACCAGATACTGTAACTTGTAAGGCGATACCTCATCGTCTGGCGAACATCGTTCAGAAATCAAAACCAACAATGTGAAAGTACCACAAGTGCCAACATGTGTACAATACAGATGAATCATTACGTACCGTTACGTCAGATATACTCTGAGGAGTGAGGGCATTGAACATTAATGTATACTATGCCTTACACCATCCTTAAGTCTCAACATTGGCAAAGTCAAAGCTTACTTGCGTATCTAACCTCGTTTCTTAAGTCTGAAAAGAACTATATGTACTTTATGAAAGCCACATTTTATAAATAAGTACCCATTGTTTCCTCTAAACTTTTCTACTAAAACAAATTAAAGAAAAGTAATGACACAAAACTTACAGTTTTATGATTAACAATGGGTTAAAATGTGGCTAAGAAGGATTGAAAAATATTTGAAGAACAAAAGGTATATGGACGCTGCCGCTATCAGCTTTAATGACGGATGCCACATGAAAATAATTAGAGCCTGTCATCAATTATTATAAAAACGTATTAGTATTTATAATTATTGTTAAAAGTAAAACGAAATCAAAGACTGTTTAAAAAGGGAATAGAACTATGTTTGAATTTTGGTATAAATATGACGTCTGGACGCACGATAGCAGAGTTCAGAGAATGTGATTATGCAGAACCTTCGAGAAATTCCAGAACATTTAGAACAATTGAAGTTTCCTTTTAAAAATCATGGAACGTAGTGAAAGAAGTGACATTACTGACGTCTGGGCGAAACTGGCGTCTCTCTCTGTAAAGACTACGAATTTTGTATATATATATATATTACCCATTTATTCTTAATCCCACTATGCCAGAATGAATATTAAATAGAGGAAATTTTAATACATAATGTAACAGAATTAAAAATATACCTATATATAAGTTAGTTTAATCAGATACATCTTTACCTAGTATGTACACTATAAACTCAAAAAACGCTATGTAACGAATACCTAATATTGATATAATGAATTATGAATATATTTAGCATGAACCATCTTTATACCACATAAAATTATCGATAATTAAAAATAATGCTTCAAGAAATATTTTGTTCAAGTATATCCTAAAAATCTTTTTAGATGAGGTCGAATATATTTTTGTCAAGATGAGAATGATATAAAAATCACCAGTATTTTTTTCTACCAAGAGGAGAAAAATAATTTTCTTTATTAATAAAAATAAGTGTAACATATTTTTTTTTATATAAAGTAATAATGTTTGATAAACAAATGAAATGTACATTGTATAATTTTAAACAAATAAAATTTTATTTTGTAGGACGCTTAGTATAGCTCAGGGCTGGAAACAAGTTAATGTTGTTATTTATCCCATGATGTAATAGACTAAAAACATTCGACTTACAAAGCTTTATTTAAATACCACCATAATGCTACGAGCAGCTTTTGAGTGGAGCTTCAATTATATTTAAAACAATACTCCTATTTCCTTGTCTAATTTATTAATGGAATAAACAATTGTAGAAAATATCAAGAAAACTAAAATATGTTCTATGTAATGAGGATCGGTTACTTGATGAGAAATATTTCGAACTTGTTACTAACTACTAGCTGCGCCCCGCGGTGTTACCTGCAAATTTCCGGGATTTTCGGGATTTCCGGGATGTAAAGTAGCCTATATTATGTTATTACTGGACGTCATCTTCCTGTATACAAATTTTATAAATATCAGTTCAGCCGTTTGAGCGTGAAGAAGTAACAAACATACACACACTCACAAACTTTCGCAATTATAATATTAATAGGATAAAATAACTTTAATAATTATGCTAAATATTAAAACACTTTTTTTAGCTTTTAAAAATATTTTTATAATTAAAATTAGTACAAGGTTATTTTCAATCATTCATTACTAGAAAAATAGCGTTATTAATACAAAAAAAAAACAGTAAAATATGCATTCTTTAGGGCAAAAACTTTATCACTACTAGTTAATTTACCCATTTCACATTTTGGTTATATTCTGCTGTAAGTAAATATTTACTGATGAAAAAGGAAGTCTTCGCAACATTTATTTGTAAAATTTTAAATGGTTTAAGATAATACAAAATAATTTCGTAAGACATACATTGTAATTTATTACAATTATTTAATTTGTGTGAAATATTCATTACCCTTTATTATTTATGTGAAACAAATTTATCTTTAAAATACTTATAATTTTTTTTAATTAGTCACTTCAAAATAGGAGTAACAATACTTCCACTTCAATCCTAGTAACTTTTGCAAATAGCTTAAAAAAGATATTCATACAATAGATTTCCTTATAGCACAACAAAGGTTATTGTTTTAAAATTTAGTAACATGTGAAGTATATGAAGATTAAGTTTAAATTTATTATATTTTACATCACATCACATAAAAGACAAGCCAATGTGCCAGACAATTTCTTAATATTCTATGCAGCCGTCATCTGTTGCCTCACAGAGTTCTGTCAAATACAATTGGCAATTGGCATTTCAGTATTTACTTCAATGTACTTGTCAAACTCAAAACTACATGAAGTGATTTTAATATCTTAAAATTGTATAGTTTAACAAATATTTAAGTGCTGTTACCGCATTTTATTGAAAGGATAACAAAATTCCTGGCGATGAGTGTTAAGATCTTGATTTAATGGCCAAACTGTCGAATGGCTGGATTCAGCTGGTAAGTATTTAATTGAAGTTATTGAATTGATTGCCTTCGTTTATTGTTCAAATGTTTCATCACTCTTCCCTCTTCATAATTTAATTAATGCTATTCCTTTTTCGCAACTCTAAAATCATAGTTATAGCAAATTGCTTATTGTCATTTAAAATTTTTGATAAAATTACTAAAATATTCTCATTGGCAGGTATCTCTCTGAAGGCTTCCAGGTAATTATTGAGAAGTCTAAAGAAGCGAAATGTTCCTTAAAAGACGTACAATTGCGTTTCTTGTGCCCTGATGACTTAGAAGAGGTATTGACTGTAAATTTTCACATTAAAAACTTCTTAGTGCATACTTAAATAGTTTTTAAATTCTCAATAACATACTTAAATTGTGCAATAATAATAATATCATTATTATACAATGAATGAAATATTAACACTATTAATTTTACTGAGTCATAATACACTCAGCTCTATACTTATAAATTATAATATTATTTAAACTTTCATTACTCAATATGATGGTTACTTATTCCAGGTCAGGTGTCTCTGCAGGGATTGGTTTCCAATAGAATATCCACAATCATGGTATGAAGACATAACTTCTTCGGAGAGATTTTTTGCATTAGCAGCAGTTTATAAAACACAGATAATTGGCTTAATAGTTGCAGAGATTAAACCATATTTAAAATTAAATGCAGAAGACAGGGGTATATTGTCGAGATGGTTTGCATCAAAAGACACCCTTGTTGCATACATCCTTTCATTAGGTAAGATTTTATTTTATTGTTAAATGAAGTAATGATTAATCATCCTATTCAAAGATTTATGAGTCATTTGAAATGATTAAGAAGTGTGAAACAATATGTTAGCAATAGATTATGAAATATAAACTAGTATATATTCTGTTTTTTTTAGGCAAAAAATACCTAATATATATGTATGATTTGAAATGGTATTTTCTATACTAATATACATATTTGAAATTGATTCTAGGTGTAGTCCGAGCATACCGTCGTTCAGGGGTAGCGACAATGCTTTTGGATGTACTCATCAATCACCTCTCGGGACCCATACCACAACCGCCTCATGAGCACCGAGTCAAAGCCATATTTCTGCATGTGCTCACTACTAACAATGAAGCCATACTTTTTTATGAAAAAAGAAGGTATGAAACCGAGGAGGTTCTATATATAGCTTTCACTGTAATTTATTTGTTATCTGTTTGTTTATTTTATTGACATACTCAATGAGATACATAACTAAACTACAATTACGATTCATTTAAATATTAAAGGTAGTTAACTTATACATATTGCAGTGAAATAATATGAAAACAAATTTATCGATAACATTATTTTTGTTGACTTCAATAATGTTTATTTTTAGACTAGCAAACTGATTATATTGAAATCTTATTATTGTAAACATTTTATTGAATAACTGTATCATATTGTAGATTCAAACTGCACTCATTCCTGCCATATTACTACTCAATAAAGGGTAGATGTAAAGACGGGTTCACATATGTGTACTATGTGAACGGCGGCCACGCGCCCTGGGGTCTCTATGATTACGTGAAGTACGTGGCCCGGACTGCTTGGAGAGGGGGCGGGCTTTACCCCTGGCTGTGGGGTAAGTTGACCGCCCTCACCATAGCCTGGCACAGGTAGTGTACACACGGCCTTATACATCAGTGCTGCCAGAACTTATTATCATATGACACTTATTGTGGACAATCGATTAAGTCACAGATGCCATATCTACTGTGTATTTTATTATCAGTAGCTTTTATAAATTATCTGTGGTTTGACAAGCTTGCAGTACTTGCAAGGGCTGTGGTTGAATATTGTAATATTGTTTCGGTTATGGCATTCTCTGATAAATATATAAATATTGAGATGTATCAAAAATTCACAATTTGCATACAATATATGTGATGGAATTGAGAAAAAATTTATGAAGCAAAAACAATACTAAACTATTATACACCTATAAATTTGATGACGACCTTATTGTAGCATCTGTGGACATATTTGTATAAAATATTAGTAATAATATGCTTAAAGTTTATTCATTAACACAATCGAATTTAATATTTAACAATTTTACATTAATAGTAATTTTTACAGACGATAATGTATAAGGTATAAACCCGTTCGTGATTTTGAACATTGTTTAACGCTGAGAAGGCTATTGAATAAGGCATTTAAAATATTGTTTCATTTTTTCTATTAAATAACAAATTTAATTTTAATTCAGTAAAGTACTGCGTATGAAACGGAGCGAGACAATTGTTTTCGCGCTATCGACATTTTATTCTTGAGGACGCCATTTTGATGTCGAAGTGTCATATCTTTAGCCGTCAATGATGAGAATTGATATATTTCGATAAACATTTATCGATTTTTGTTTGTAATCGGCAAATGATAAGTGAAAAATAGTTTCAGACAACATGGCCCCTTGATTATTCATTATCAGAACTAAATACTGTACTTATTGCAAAACATTTGTAACGAAGATTCCATATTTTGAATATCGTTATTTAAAATTTTTGTTGTGTGATTACAAAGCGATTTGACATTACACCAATTTTGTACGAATTATGTAAAAATAGGATATTCCTGTTTTACATTTTGTCTTTAAGTTATTAACGTCTCTGTAAATAACGCTTTGTTAAATCCTAAACTTTTAAAATATACGGCCGAAGGTTTAAAGTTTTTCATCCTAATTGGATTTTTTGACAATTTTGATCTCTACATCCCATGTCATTGTTGGCGTTATGTATAGGTATTAATTTTTATTCAATTCTTAAAAAACTATAAAACAAAACATTCAACCTTTTCAACTTTATTTGTATAATTAACAATATACTCTTTTTTTATTCAGAGTAAATTCCTAAATTAGGTTTAATGCAACACAAATGTAATATATTGTCACAATTTTTTTTTTGTTTTTTTCAATTAAAATTTCTCCTAATACAATTAAAAATGTTTATGAGTATGTATAATATATAATCTGTGGAGGTTTTATTGGTTTTAATGGCATCGATTGCTAGTATAGTGCCATGAGTAAGGTGCCTGTGTGTTCACTTAACTATAGGAAAAAATCTTGTTGTAGTTATTAAGGTAATTTTAATTATTAAATTCCTGTGCTTCTACCATTTAGTTAATTCTTAATTAAAAAAAGAAACCAAAGTAATTTATTATTTATGTACTGAAATTTAAGTATTAAAATTTTTTTTTAGTTAAAATTTAGTATTATTTTGTAAATCATTAATAATTAAATTATTATCTGGTTTTATGTGATATTTGTTCCCGGTTACAAAAGTTAAAATATTTTCGACAACAAAAATTAAATTGATTTAATTAGCAAGTACGTATTGTTGATAGTAATTTTATTATATTTATTGAATTATAATTTAAAACTATTTTTCATTTAAAAATAAATATCATTGTTGACCACTATTTTCGTATTTTATTTTCCTTTTATTATATTAAAAAAACAAGATATTTAATAGACAATTACAATATAAATTGAAAGTTTGTGTTTGTTTCCTACAAGAGATATTTATGGTTCCTAACATTACAATTATATATTTTCTCCTTTTTTTATGTTTGTTTTGTTTTTCAATAAAAATTGTAAAGTTCTTTTTTAAGGTTAAATTATTTGTTATATCAGTATTACAATCAGCCTTGTGCTACAAACGAAGCAACTCTTAAACTTATAGCCTTGGCTGAGTGTAAGGACCGAAAAGTAATGTCAATTCTTAATTCCTTTAATACAAACACAAAAATTTTTAAAGTCTTATATTCTCCACCACCTTCAATAATCTTTTTTCGTCTAATCATTAAATTTTTGTACCTTGATCGATTAAAATTGGGCAGTTTTCAGCAAAACACATAGGATTTAGCATATCATTCAAATGGTTTGCTACATAAAAAGTATTTTAGTTATCAGAAAAGATGGAAACCAGAGGGTGCAACCTTGGATGGATTTAGTGGATGAAGCAGTACCTCCCACTCGACTTGAGCAAATTTAATATGATTCACAGTCGTGCAAAGTAATGTTGTAGAATGACGCCTTTCCGATTAATAATTAATTGATGGCCACATTTAATTATACGCTGTAGAGGTCTGTATTACCAGGGTGTCCAGGTACTCCTCTGAATACACAAAAGCGCTTTTTTGAGATGAAAACCTGACTCACAAGTAGTACTCGGAGTCCGAGGGATTTCCTTTGAGTTTCGTGTCATACAAGACCCATTTCTCATCTCCAGCGAAAAAGTTATCAAAGAGTGCTTTATCTGTTGTATCTTTGGAGCAATAAGTTGCATGTAATTATTCGGTTGGCCTTGCTCTGTTTGGACATATTATGTTGGACAATCTTTACTCCTTCTCCAAATCTGCTTCAAATGTTCTTAGAATATCGAACAAGGCTGGGTTAGACTTTTTGACAATTCTTCAAACGTTTGACAGTGATTTGCTTCCATTTCCGAGCTTAACAAATCCCACAAAATTAGGAGCTGATCGATTAAATTGCAAAGACCAAAATTATCTAATGGTTATTTGAAACTCGCTAACCACCTTTAGCATTTACGAATATTAATAAGCATTCTGATGAAGATCACCATTGTTTTTTTGTATTTACTATCACATTACTTTCCTTGGGAAACCGAAAATATATATGCAATGGTACATGTTTACCTCTTCTGATATTTGTCTGATTATTTTATCTTAAATTACAAAGTAAATGTTATTAAATTTTCTATATAGATCGACATAAAATGCGACGCCCGCAATACATAAGTTAAAAGTTATCAATGAGGTGTTTAGGGAGAAAATACTTCAAAAGTTAAAAACAAACAGTCAGTTCATTATAAACTATCACTAAGGAAACATTTTAAAAATGAAAACAGTGACTTTCATATAATAAGGCAATCAGATCTAACCTTAGTTGTTAAAAATACAGTCAAAATAAAACAATAACGAACAATTTCCCAAAATTTTTAATTTTAATAATTGCTTCTTTTTTTCATCAACTATGCTGTACAAACTATATTCGCTTAAATTAGAATTAGCAATTAATAATTGCACGTAAAAAAACTTAACAAATAGGTACTTTCAACTTTTCGATTGGAATGAACGATTATTACATTATGTAATATATATATATTTTACAATACTTAAACTACAAAATGAGAATCTATCAACAAGCAGTCACAATCGCCCAATGATATGTTAAAATTATTTGTGTTTATTGCACTAATAAATGTATGACAGTGCGTGCGCAACTACGGGCTTGGCTACAGATCGCGAGGCGTATAGGCGTCCATACTGAGTGTATGAGGTTATTACGACACGAGGTTGCTTCGGTCCGATGCACCGCCTTTGTGATTTTGGCCCTTGAAGTCTTTGAGGCGAATGGGTGAGGACTCGCTGCCCGAGTCGCCCTGCAACATTATACTATGCTATTACATATATCATTAGAAACATACTGATTCATCTCAATCTTCTGCGGGAGTATTTCCTTAAAACTTAACGGTTGTTCCGAAATTAATATCAGTAAATTTGTGTACCAGAAATACAGAGAAGTTCCAATCCTCCAATCAGATTATTATATAACTAATTACGAGTATGTGTTGTATGTCATGTGAATGTTTATCATACATTGGCACCAAGAGAGGTAGTCTCTTGCAGGAGCAGTTCGCTGTCGGTGCCGCGAGCCTCTTTATTCTTGAGAATAGATCTGGATCTTGAGTCACTCTCTAGAGGCCAGCCGCCACCTCCACGCTTGTTACCGTTTTTACCTAAAATTTTTATTCATTTAATATTCGAAGCAACTCATTGAATATTTTTCTATCATTCATTTACCAAATAGAATGTGATGATTGATAATTCTCGTCGCTATCCCTCTCGGCGGCCTCTTTTCCTCCTCGGACCATTCCTAGCAATAGAATTATATGTACATTAATGTGATAGATGCTGCCATCATTGTAATACAAGCGAAACAAAGCCTCGTGGTAAAGCGATAATGTTTATAAAAATCCTTTCAAAGGTACATGTACCTTGATGTTTTGCAGCAGATAATAATTTGCCATTATACATAAGTATCGATTTTGTTCCCTACGCAAGCCACGTCTTCATAATACGATCAAAACATTAAATAACAAATAAAACATGCACACACAAAGATAAAGTAACATATAAAAATGAAACGCGCTTGCAACGGCCTGCGTGTACCAAATGATTTAATATACGCAGACTGACCTGTTGGAAGCGCGCTTTTCTGTGTTTAGGCTTGGCGTCGTCGGTGGCGGCGGGCGAGTCGTCCGCCTGTGCTTGTGTCGACAGGGAAGCCTCTACTAACGCCTCACCACATCCCACACCCGACAGACTGCCACGCGAGCCGCGCGGCGAGACTTCGCCCTGAGAACCTTTCGCACACAATACGCTCCCATCCCCTGAAGCGCTCTTGCGCACACCGTTAAACTCAGCAGATACCCCTCCCCCCGCCCCTGCCCCGCCCCCGCCCCCGCCACCACCGCTACCATCCAAAGGATTCACATACAAGTTTGAGGAGTCGTTCTCACCCGTGATGTCGCCCTCTGAAGGAAAAGGGTGCGTAAGGCATGATGCAAATGTATCTGCAACGTAAGACATAGACGCATGTCGAGTCGCACACCCAACTCGTTTGATACCGGGGGTGGTCTTAACACAGGGGTAGGTTGTACGTGCTGGCTGACCATACAGTTTTAACGTAGTGACAAAACGTTCTTATAACACCTACAAATTATAGGGCGATGGTTGTCTTAACGTGTGTTATGTGGACTTAATATAACATGTATAGAATGGTAGAGATTCAAAACAAACAAGACAAATATAATAAAACCTTACTTGTACCTTACATAATATGTGAAAAATGAAAATGAATCGGGCTCAATCTTAATTTTTGCTATGTCCACTGGGGTATATGGGTGTAGATGGAAATATGTATATACCACACGGACATTATATGAGATGTATTACCAGGACTGTCAAGGCTGTTGGGCGTCGCTTCTGGTAGGGCACGAGGCGCCGGGTGGCGTTGTAAGCAGGCCAGCTCCACGCACACAGGTTGTCGAAGATCCGACGTGGCCATGGGCATCAGTTGCTCGGCGTCTATGAACTCTTTGTAACCCTACACGATACAACACAATCATCAACATATGAAATTATTAAAGTCTAACCTAATGCCCCTATTCCTATTTACAAGTTATGATTTCAAAAACTATAAAATAAAAGTGCCGTCTAAATATAAAATCAAACAAAATGTTACATTATATCCGTGCCGTCTACAATTAACAACCTATCCTAACCTAACCTAATCAAGAGAAAAATCTAATATATATGTAATATAACGGTTCCTTTAATTTGTAAAATTTACTTCTATCACCAGTTCCTCATTCATTTTGGTATAAAAATTCATACAAATTAAAATATGAAGCATGTACTTACGGATGAAGCTGATAGAAAAAATAATATGATTAAAAATAAGGTTAACACATTCACGTCAATGTTAAAAACGAAACCCAAATCCGTTAGCATTATAAACACTTCATGTTAATATTTAGTACCTTGAACGTGCAAAAACAACATTCAAACTCAGAAGGCAGCTGATCCAAGTCAAGCTGTTTTTCAGCCATCTTCTTTTCCTAAAAAAGAGAGAATATTAGTGGTTAACTCTAATTTAGACCTTATTATCAGTATATGTGGTGTTATATTAGTGAACAACGATGCCTCCTGTGATATCCATAGAGAACATTTGAAGAGTCACGTGGATTTTTGTCTACAAATTGACTCTATATTGGAGTAATACCAGTATAGGTACAGAACAGTAAAAAAATGAAACTTTTGATATAAAACTTATGTAACGAAAGCTCTATAACCGAATTGTGAATAAAACTACTTATACGTAATAAGCTGAGCTACAGCTTTTTTGGTGAAATGTCTTACTGGAGTCGGTTCTGGGTTAATAAGCAAGCGTTTCTCCGGCGTGCCCAAGCCCTCTGTTGAATAGCGAAGGTCCTTATTAGGACTGGTCTGAAACTACGTCTCAATGTATTAGTGAATGCCTTAATAAAGATCTAACTACGAGTCGATTGGCTTACAAAGTTACAAAACTATGGTAGCGGTGAGATTGCTTGTTAAATATAACTTTGTTTAAATACAGGAACTTGAATGAGTCTCTCAGACAAATGATCGTAACTTTTGAGAGTAATTGTTATCAAATCTGTCTGTTTCATATTACATACAAACCTGTTTATAACATAAGATATTAAGCTTTGTAATGGTAAATCAATACCCACAATCTACTATTAATGTGCAGCAAGATAATTAATGTGTGGTAAATTTCTACGTTATATATATGTAGATGAAAGACCATACAAACTTACCTGATTAGGATCAGTCGCCTGCGCTATCTTATTGGCCATTGCATGTTCGTATTGCTTGTAACAACCTGTGGTGGCCGGCGCTTCGCCTTCCAGGCTAGTGGCGTCCGCTTGTGACAGGTTATGTCCTGAAGAGACATACCATCTTAAGTAGCAACGCTTTCACTATTTTCTTCCTATTATTTTCATTAAGCGTTCGCATTACCTATGTATCGTATATAATAAAGTCATGCGATTAAACGACATTCAGAACAAATGAAGCGGCGTGAAATACACAACACATTTACACACGAACAGTCTAAAGATCCAGCGTTCTCCGGATACACACAACGTACAGTCCACAGAGTAAATGAATGTTAGTTTTTATGAAGCGTTAGGCTTACGCTGACAATGTAATCGACCTTAGATAAAGTGTCTTCGTCGCACATCGCAAGCTACACGCGACGCGAACCCGACCCCGAGCTACGGACATAATAATAAGGGGTCGAGCATGACGAGTGCGCGATAGGAGTAAGTAGCTCATCTGGTGTCGTCTCTCGCCTCTATGAGGACGCATTTGTCACCTGAAGACAAGGAATAAAACAATCTGATACACCTCTTTGAACGAACGGGTGAATATAGCTGTAGCTGCGATGTAACGTGAACTGTTCTGAGTTTGAGTATGCCTGCGAGTCCGGAGAGCTAAACAATGCACCGTGCACTCAAACAACATCCATCACATCCATTAACACTGATCGAGCATTGGAACAGAAAGCATGCGTGCGATACGGAAATGTTACGAAAACGAGACACATGACATGGAGAAGCGGGAGGCGTGTCCGTAACACTGGCTCACTCACCTGTGTCTACTATGACGTCTATGAGGTCCATGCTCTTGGCGAAGGCGTCACGCAAGTTAATGTGGTGGAAGGAGACTATGGAGCCCTCGCGCTTGGCCCGCTCGAGGGCCTCGCGTCGCTTGAGAGCTTTCTCACGCCGCATCTGATTCTTGTAAAACTCGGCGAAATTGTTGACGATAATGGGAATGGGTAACGCAATTACCAACACGCCGCAAATACAGCAAACTGAGCCGATGACCTTGCCCAACGGGGTCGTGGGGTAAATGTCACCGTATCCGACTGTGGTCATGGTGATGCCGGCCCACCAGAACGTTTCCGGAATGGAAATAAATTTAGTTCCCGGTTCTTCCTTTTCGGCAAAGTATGCCAGTGAAGAAAATATAAGCACTCCCATCGCAAGGAACAACATGAGCAGTCCAAGTTCTTTGTAAGAATTCCTGAGAGTAAAGCCGAGCGATTGCAGCCCGGTGGAGTGTCGGGCTAGTTTTAGGATACGCAATATTCGCATGATACGAAAGATTTGTACAACACGACGCACGTCTTGAAATTGATCTGTCGCGTTCTTATTGGTTTCGAGTAGAAAAAGAGACACGAAATATGGCAGGATAGCCAACAAATCGATTACGTTCAGTCCACCTTTGAAGAATTTCCATTTATCCGGCGAGGCACTAAACCGCAACACGTACTCGAGGGTAAACCACGTGATGCAGACCGCCTCGACCATGGCCAGCTGCGGGTTGTCCATGGGCGTGCCCTTCTCGTCGTACATTTGCATTTGAGGAATGGTGTTCAGAGTGAGCCCTATTGTGGACAGCACGATGAAGAGGATCGAAATAACAGCGATCACCTGCAAGCATGTACTGAGTGAGCGACTGGCGCTCCCCGCCACCGTACTGTCGCACAGATATACCAGGTCTTGTAAGTATTGGAAGAATAGTTGATAGTTTGGACAGTAAAGTATAACGTGTACCTTCATCAATTATGCGAGTGTCTATACATATGTATTAAAGATATATTTGTATTTACAATGGTTAGGTTGACATTATAAATCTGAACAATGTAATAAGTATATATGAATAAGTAGGTATGTATGAATAAATTTGTAAGTGAAGTAGGTAGTTAATATATACAGATTTCATTATAAACCGATTAAGCTAGCTGCAAAAGTAATGGCCTTAATATTATTGCTTAAATTTTGGTGTAAAAATAACATCTATTTGTGTCGATTAAATGTAAGTAGTGTTGTGTGGTCGAAGTGTAGATAAGAAAATTACATGTAATAGATGAACGGAAGAGCGTTCGCGTTATAACGCGCGTCCGTCCATACGTCTGCGTCGCTCGGTTAGTAAGATCAGTACGACGAAGCGGAAGCGCTGGTGGGTTTCAGGGGGAGGGAGGAAGAAATGGATTCAGGGTGAGGGTAGTGAGACGCCGGTGAAGCGAGGCTCGGCCGTGATGGGGGCCGGCGCGGGCTCGGGCCGCACACTGCGCACGGTGTCCGCAGGGCGCGGGCTCCGTCCCGTGCCGGCCCACACGAAGGCCTACGAGCAACGCCGGCGGCGGCTGGTCACATCGCGTAAGCCCATCCCATATTTGCAAGTTTTGCGACAACAATTAAGCTTTGTTTTTTTTAAACTCTCTGAGAACTATCCACGCTGCTGTGAACATTAAGAATATATGTAAAAAGATATAACACGGCACACTGTGCCCCTATGACATTAGTTACAATGGTTACACATTAAAAATATACAAAAATAAATCAACTAAGATTACACAAAGGAAAAGTAACTACAGCATATAACGATTATGGAGACAGCCGCATTCCTCATGTATATCATATAAAGATATTTGTATAACCTTGAAAAAATATATATAGATATAAAGGGAAATATTGAAGTAGGTAAAAGGTAATGATATAAGATTAAGAATAACAAATAAAAATATTTTAAATACAGAAGTAAATTACACTGGCAAATAAAAATGTCTCAATTGTATATAATGAACGTAATGAAGTAAAATCCAAAAGTTAAAATAAATTAAAGTCCCAAATATGCTGTTAAGATCAAAATTTCAGTGAATATGTAGGTTAGTTCAAACTGGATTCCCATTCATAGCATTACCCGAATGTATGGAAAAACAAGAATAACATGTTTTCATAAAAACAGTCTACTGTTTTTATAACGATCGAATTTCCCAATAATAATGTTTTCAATTCATATTGGATATTTCCTTGGTAATGTCCAATTAATAACACATTTTATTTTTCTAACAATTTAAACGATTTTTGTTTAAATCAAACCTTTGGTAATTATTGTAACGTTATTATAAAATAATATAATTATATAAATAATTAATTACAAGTCAATAATAATTAGGGGTTAGTTGCTTTTCAATAGAAATAATCGTTTCAAGCATCCATAAATTGATTTAAAATTCACGCCAGAATTTATGGAAACGAAGGTATTAATATATTAACAACTTAAAATTATACATACATTTTTTATCACGTCACGTCATACTTACTGGACTGTTGTTGAGGTAAAGCAGAAACAATTGATAAGGAACTGTCAAAGAATTGGCTAAGGCTAGAACAACAGGCAACAACAAAGCACGGACCACTATACAACATCGGAACACAACACCACAGAACTACGTATATATTAGATGTTATTCATGCACCACATAAACATATCATGCCCATCTTTGAAACCGAAGAGTATTTTTATAGGAAACATGTAATTCATAAAAATAAAATACATGTAAATACAATCCTTCATCTCCAAATCCGCTATTGTATTTATAATAGAATCATAATATCGTGCTTAAAAATATGTGTGATTGTGTTTTATTTCTGAATTGGTTTTTTATTGTCATTTTATTAAAAGAAATGCCATTCAATTGTTGTTTTCGTATAGCTCACAATGTACAAAAGCGTCTGATTCTACTTAATTCCGTATAAAATATGATAGATATTTAGATAATAGGCAAATTCATGATACCTTCGATAACTCTATTATAATTCCTTGGCAGCTTGCTAAGATGGTAATATAAAATTTAATAATTGACACAGTTCAACATGATGTAATACATTACCCGAGCAGCGATACTCGTTGTAGGTTTTTCAAGTAGGTCCCACAGCCACTTCTGGTACTGGGCACAAGTTCCCTGTCCGAATTCCTCTTCTTCTCTCTGTCGCAAGCTTTCAGCTTCTTTTCGCATCTCTTCGTGAACATGTTCCTTCCGCTGGTGGTACTTGTGTTGACAGCACGACTCCAGGTACAGTTCATCCACGCCCCAATACTCAAGGTCATCACTAAACGCCAACACGCACATCTCATCCACTAAATGTAACTTGCCAGTTCGGTAAAAGTTTAGAATTGAACTAAAACTCTTCGGATGTCTGGAAATTATGTGAGGGAGGGAGTTTTATTGAATTGAATGACACTTTTATCAATGATGAACAGTATAGAAAAAGTAGTGACAATCAAGCCATTCTTAAAGTATTAAGATAATATGGTTTTAATCTTATCAAACTAAGTTTCAGACGAACCTGTCAAAGAAGTACTCATTATCCTGCAAGGAGTAATCATCGCAGAGTTCTGTTATGGCCTCGTGCGTGTTGCAGTCTCGAAGTCTTCCGAGACGTGTGTGAGGGAGACGCTCGAGGGTTCGCCACAACACTTCATGACGGACACCACCCACGTTAATGATCACCCGCTTACTGAGAGCCTTCGCCCGGAGCATCATAAACGGCTCGGGAGGTAAAGATGACATCGACCTACCGAAAGTATGTAAAAATATTTGATCACTAGCTTTACTAGAAATATGTTATAATTATGTTAACCATGAGTTATTGCAATGTGATGTTGAACTTTATAAGATTTCTATAAACTATTAGAACCGAAACAAATTATGTTTTCTTTTAATGATTTTACTGTTTAAAGGTTACAATTTCTCTTTTTGAAGGAATTCCATAATACATATTTACTCGTAATTTATGTTTTTATCTGTCATAATATTAATCTATTTTTTGTTACGTTACCAAAGAAATATAACAACATATATCCATAGCGTAAGCGATACTTATACAGGGTGACTGGTGAATTACTATCAATACTTTAGGACGTGATATTTGACGATCATATATGACAAGATAAAAATTAATATAACATAAATATTAATAAAGTTCTAAGTAAAGTTTACCAAAAGTTATGTAATTAATTACGCATCGTGTGAACACCCCACAGATTAGGTATACACACACACTCACACATACGCGTGTGGCGGCGTAGTGTTGTATCAGCACGCCGCCGCACGCGTCCACACTTGGAACACTTGGAACGTACCCACGCTTTATTTATTTATACGGAAATTTGGTCAAAAATTAAGTACCTATTTTTTTTACATAATTCGAATGAGAATCATGTACCGAGTATTCTCCTTAAATATTGATAGTAATTCACCAGTCACCCTGTATAATTATAATATTCTAAAGTAGAGGTCAAATTTCAAAAAAGAGGAGTTTGAAGGCATGACCACAATAAATCGATAATGAGCTGCACAGTAAATCTGTTGTGGTGTAACCTGGAGTGTGCTCTTTGCAGCGCTGCGGCCGTGGCAGGCTGCGCGGGCGCCGGCGCCGGCGCGAGGCCGCGGTCGAGAGGCGCATCCTGCGCGGGCGCCGCATAGCCCATGGGCGCGCGCGGGGGCGAGTCGCCCACTTGCCAGCGCGCGGCGCCGCGGCCCGCCCCCTCGCCCCCCATACCGCTAGCTCATCTTGCCATCCCCTGTCTCCCCATTTGCCTCTTATCGCTGATCGCTCTGAAAAAGCATGAAAAGAATTTAAAATTAACTGGGAAATAAAAATTACTTCAATTATGAGTATTTCAATTTCAATTAGATTTATAACACCTACATTAAAGCGAAGAATTGAAGTTTAAAACTCGAGAGCAAAATACTTTCGTTGATTATCACTATTTCCTATGTCTTAAAAAAATAGAAAGTTGATAATGATAAACATTAATATACTAAGATTAATTGAAATCAATATCAATCATCACCATCAATTCATATTATAAAACAAAATCTCTTGATTTGAATGTATGTACATTAAGATATTTGTGGTAGATGTCGGGAAAAAATGAGCCGTCTGCCAGCTTTTAACGAAAACGCTAAAAAAAACCTTTGAGCTATAACAAAACAATGTACCTATAGGGGAATTATGTATCTAATATAGGTTTGCAGAAAAGTCCGCGATGGGATGTGTCCATCTCTTAAGGATGACATACTATATCCATTTTACTACTTTTAAAAATTTTATTCATGAAGCGTTTATAGGAAAGCTATTTAAATAATTACGGTATAAAGTCTTATCAAAATAAATTACTTCATGTTCAAGCTTACATCAGTATCTATAAATTACTTTTTGAATTATTTAATTCGGACGTACCATTTGAAAGTTATCATAAGTTTAATAATTCTCAAAATTAAATCCATGCGATAGCTCACTTTTTCACATGATGTGGAATACAAAATTTTTGTATATTATAAAACTATTATTAACATAAAATATACCGTTTTTCTAAGTTCCAACTTAAAATATGTTTGAAGGATGATGAAATTTATTTTTTGTATAGTACCCCTGCGAAGCTGGGGCGCGTCCATAGTAGTATATATTTTTATTAAATAAATCAACATATGGTAACGATAAGTAGCACCAATTAATGTAGAATTTACAGTGTAAACAATTAAAAAAAACTTGCATATAATTTCATCATCTTTTTTTAATTAAGTAAAGATATTTTACGGTTTTTAGATATCTAAATCTTATGTATCAAGGTCAACAAGTTATGTCATCAGTGGCACGTAAAACAGAAGCATTATACAAATCGAGAGCCCAACGGTGAACAAATAACGTTTCAATGTTTGTCGGGACACGGCTAGGAGTGGGTGGAGGCAATCGATTATGAGATCGGCGCGCCCTATATCAAGCCCTGATCGACTTAATCTAATAACACGTGTTGCACCAAGTCACACACGTATTGAATATTCACCTAATTATAATATGGGATGTTATCTTCTACACGATAGCTGTTATGTGATGAAAGTGAAAGAATTAAATTGGAACAGTCTGTTTATACAGCGGGTGTTTGATGCCTTCAATCATCGCTGCGGCTGCCCTGATAAAAAATTAAATCACATGATGCGATCATCAATTATGTTTATTCTACTCGCGTATTGGCTCTGCAGATTGTTTTTTTAGAAAGACTACTTCCGTTTTTCAGATTAAAGCTATTTAACTGAAGACTATTTAGCTGATAATTTTTTTCGGTATATTTTTTTAAAGAATAAATTGTATATTTAATAATTAAACTAACCGCTTGCATCCACCAATAAACGATGCCTGATAGAACCACATACATACATTCAGTCTGGTCTGCCCATGATTACGGTTGTTGAAAAGTAACCGAAACGTCGGGAGTATATTGTTTTTTAAATTAATAAAACACAGGAGTAATTCGAAAAACATTAGTACCAATTAACATGTTTCATTATTTTAGTCTATGTTTCTATAAAAAAAACGTTCAGCCATTATATAATATTGTTACAAATATCCTTGCATATATAATTACAGATGTATGTATTTATTGTTATGTCTAAAGTAAGATCGTTTTTGTTTACAAGATGTTGATACGGCTCTCACAGTTGGGCATTATTCCAATAAACAAAATTAATATCATAAATACGGAAGTATATTTAGAGATTTATTTATTAATACAAATTGTTGGACATATTTAGAATACACATCCTATACAAACCAGTTACACGTTACACAATAATGTAACTTATTAATAAATATTACTGGCTTGTGGAAAACATATAAAATTGATCAAACAATACAAAAAGTTACTATAAATTAGTAAGCTTTCGTCGACACTTTTGTCTACACAAAAATTTTATACGTCATATAAATTGCATACGAGCAAATAGCTCATCTAGTGGTTAATATTTACCGTCGCCATAGATAACCACAAAATTAGAGGAATTGCAGATGCGTTGCCGGCCTAAAGTTAGTAACACATACCTACTCATTTATATAACTTCGACATTATGTTTTAAACTCATATTATATTAATATTTAGTTAAAATGTGAAATATCGTATAGTTTACTTCTAAGTATTATAAAATAAAGTTATCCAAGACGATGATTGCTTTAAAAAGTAACCGCTCGGTCAAACTGAATATTTAATATTTTAAGTCTGCGACAGCGGCGTTGGACTTTTAGCTTATACCGAGCACTTTAAACTTGGAATAAGAATTTACTTTAAAAGCGTTATTAATTTTACATTCTCAGAACAAAGACAAAAGGTCCGTATAAAGCTATAAAATAACTGTAAAACCGCTTTGAAATTCTACAAAACTGACGTTGAAGAGCACTTTTAAATTGGATGTTAAGTGACAAGATGGAAAGAACTTGAAAGAAATGTCTCTTAAGAGATTGTTTATTAAGAAGTCGAGAGGTCTAGACTTGTTCTTATCTAAACTCTTGGAGTCAAGATTGAGAGACATGTTACACTATTTGAAGACGATTGACTTTTACAAATATAAGAAAGATATTCTGCTTTAATATAGAATTTGTCGATAAAACATGAAACTCTATGGAAACTATGTTTAATTTCATTTTCTGTGTGTCATTCTCCATGTAAATGTATGGTGTGACAAAAATGTTACGTGAAATAGCAGTCCATTATTTCCGCTCTCGGACAAAGAGCTTTTTGTTTTTGCAACTAAATTGCCAGCGAGACATTTAAGGGTGGCAGAAAATGTGTTAATTACAGCACCATGGAAACAATGAATTGCTTTTTATATACTATACTAGCTGTTGGCCGACTTTCTCTACATTTTATATTTCCTCTAAGATTGGTCTCATTATACCTTATTATGTTTCATGGAATTTCTAGTAGATCTTTTCATCAGATCCCAAGTCAGTGTTTAGTATCATCACAAGACAGTGCCCTTTTGATAATGATATAAAGTGGAATTGATAACTTTTCAAAATGTCAAAAGTATACAACATAAACCACATTCACATTCATTTCCATTAATCAAAAGCTGTTACATAAATTGGACACAAACAAACACAACAATTTTAGTACTTAATTATATTTTTTGAACAAAATTTATAAAGGATTACTGAGAATCAAGTTGTTAATTAAAAGATTTTTATTAAAATGTTTAATTATATCTAATATATTGAAAACTAAGAAAGATTATTTGATTAAATAAATGAAGCAAATAATATTGAAAAGTATACTAGTGAAATCTTTTACATGTACCCAATAGTACGACTACCGATGACAAAATCAAGTTTTACGAGGGGTTTGTAATGTGGTGACAAATTATACAAAATATGCATGTTAGTCACTTCACTTGCTATAAAACTAACATTGTATTCTCAGCGGGAAAACTGAAAGGACACTGCTAAGATTGGTACTTGAAGATATTTCGTTCAACAAATAGTCTCGCAAACCTTATTGACACATTGTTAATATTAAAAAAAGGGTATATGAAAATCGTAATTTATTTAATTTATGCATTAATATATAAAATTAATGCTTTAATATATGTACTATAGAGTACAAATTGATTGAATCAAACGTACTCGGTACTCGGTACGCTCGTGTTGATACTTCGCTCTCATTAAATCTGAGACGTCACCCTGTCTGTTTGTGAATAGTCACTTACGCAAACTTAATATATATATGGAAATTTGTTGTTTTCCTTCTTATTATATACAATTATATGTAATTGTGAAACGTAAAAGAAAACTTATTTACTTAAATTCTTTATATATGGAATATTTGATGTCTAATTCAGAATAATGTATCCTAAATAATGTATGTACGTAATTATTTCCTATAACTAAATAACTATTCAAATCGGTTTCACGTACATGGTACTTTCTTCTTCAGTTAAATGCCAGACAAGCAGATTTTTATATCATACCTATGTAAGACAATAAATAAATAATAAAAAAGCAATTTAATTATTTTTTTTGTAAAACTGGACATCGGATTATCGAGTTTTCTACATTTAACCTCCAATAACTTTCTCTTCCATACTCTATTTTTTACCTAGTATGTATTTGGAAAAATCCCGTGCCAGTATCTTATAGTAAAATTATTGCTTTTGGATTCTTCAATTCTATTAACCATAGAACACATCTGAATGAATTAGAATATATGTCATGCTTACAATAAACATGTTATTTGGGACATTAAAAATATCGAAGGTTTTCCAAACATCTATATAGCTGTATACATCAAGTTAAACTGATAATTCCAAATCATTTCTTTTCCACGTGAATGTCTTCTATAAAGTCGTATAAGTTGTAACTTATATGAAGTTAAAAGCTCTCAAAGGCCGAGTGTTACGTAACAGCTGTTCTTCGTAAGTCGGTTAGCCGGTCGGCTACTGACTACTCGTTTATTTACTACCGACGGCGCCTCAACGCCTGTACCTTACAGATCAATACGGAGGCTGTCTCAACTCTACGTCACTAAACTACCCCCGACCCCCCATTATAATATTACCTACTTTATTTTGCGGTTTACTCCACTTTATTTATTTTGGGTGTACGTCTACTAAATAAGCTATTTTTATTCACTATGTTATTTCGTGGAGTGGATAAGGATAATATATTACTCATAAACAAAGTAAAAGTGTTTTCATCTGATAAAGTTGTCATACAAAGTTGCAAATT